GATCTTCATTGATATTAACCAAAGCTAAGCATGAAGAATTGAACTATATATTGCCTTCTTGGCCATGGAGAAGTATATATACAGATTAAAACTTTAAAAAATAACATGTGCTACTGCTAGTACTGATATATCACAAAATATTGCTCGGTCATTGATATGTAGAATGGTTTTCGCAAATCAACTAATGGAAGAGATAAGTCAAACTTTAATAGCTAGCTAGTAAGTGGAGATAAATGTTGCTTCTTTAAATAATGAATATCTTAACTCGTATATATCTGATTCTGATGATACTAGCTAGCTAGTACTAAACTCAAAGGTGATTATAATTATATCAAACCACACAACACCAATGGCAAAACCAGAAATTTTAGTGGGCGAGTGAGTAAGACCAAAATTTACTAAAATAATGGCGCAACTATTAATTCTATAACTATTTGTATATTTTTCTAATCCCAATAAATCAAGCTTTTAATTTAGTTTAATTCATTTTTTAAAGTCTACAATACGCAAAATTGTTAACTTATTTAATGTCATTGACCCTTGACTTATTTAACAATTTAGGTTTGAAATATGAGATACTTAAAAATTAAAATTTATAATGTAAATGAAATGTTTTGAAAATTTCATATAAGTACCATAATTAGAAAAATTAAGGGGGCGAACTAAGGGAAAAAACGTAAAAATAAATTTCATTAAGGTAAAATTAAAGAGAAAATCCAAAAAATATCTCCCGAGTTTTAGTTAAATCCAACATTTACTCCTGTATTTTTAATAATTCAAAAGGTGTCCCTTTAGTTTTTAGATTATCCAAAAATTATCCCTTACGTTTTTCTAAAAAAAAAATAAAAAATAAAAAAAAAACTTTAATTGATCAACATATTTGAAATATCAAAAATAACCTCAATAGGTATTCCTTAGATATTATTTTAGACATTAATTATGTAAAACTTTTAAAACATAAGTTTTAGAACTAAATAAAATCAAGAAAACAAAAGAGCCAACGTGTTTAAATGACTGCACAACAGTATTAAGTGTAGAGATAAGACCGATTTGATAAGTCTAAATCCACCGGTCGTGTATCAACGATGTGGGCGCGAAATTCTGTATGGGGCTAAACCAATTTGACCGGTTAAGTTTTAGATTTTTCAAAAGCGAAGAATTTATTTTATTGAAAATTTACCTTTTTCTTTATATTTTGTTTCTTAGTTATTAGTTTTTAAGATAATGTTTAAATATTGATCATTAAGGTCATTTATGTCATTTTCAACAATTTAACTACTTAAAGGTTAGAGTGTGAGTTTAGAATAATTTAAAAACATAAAGAATATATTTTGAATTATCAAAAACACAAAGGTCAATGTTAGATTTACCTAAAACTAAGGGATATTGTTTGGATTTTCTCAAAATTAAAGGCACCATGTTGGCCAATGGGGTAAAATTCAAACTTCAGAGTCTTGTTGTTCTAATGTCGGCCATCTTTATCATCATAGTATTGTAGGCTTGTAGTGGCCCATTTTCTGGCATAGAGTTGTCAAATGGGCCGAGCTATCCATGAACGGCCCGGCCCAACCCACAACAGTGTTAAGTTCGGCACGGCCCGGACCAGTACTATTACGAGCCGCGCCGGCCTGGCACGTTAGCTGGACTAGGGCTGGGCCTCGGCTTCCCAGCCCGTGACCTAGGCCCGGCCCTAGCCCGTTAAGGTTGTGATTTGGCCCAAGCCCTGATTCGGCCCAAGCCCGTGTTTGGCCCAAGCCCTGATTCGGCCTAAGCCCGTGTTTGGTCCACGAATCAGCCCGCCAGGCACGCAGCAATGTGACCGTTGGGCCCATCGCGTGCCCAACGGTCACATTGAAATACTCTTAAATTTCAACTATAATGGAAATTTTTAATTTTTATGGGATAGAAGATAAAGTTTTAACAATTATTTTTGATAATGCGTTAGCTAACACAGCTGCAATTAACATATTTAAACTTAATTTGAAACCACCTTTTGGTGGTGAAATTTTTCATCAACGGTGTGCGTGTCACATAATAAAGTTAGTAGTACAAGCCTGAATTGAACATATTTCCTCTCATCTAACAAATATTAGAGAAAATTTATCCTTCATATCTAGTTCTGGAGCTCGACTCCAAGAATTTTGACAATATTACAGGAACAGCCAGATGCGCCCAAGAAAGTTTCCAACTTATGTGATACATAGGTGGAACTCCACCTACTTAATGTTGAAGACTACAATTCTGTATCAACAAATCATCACTACGTACGTGAACAGTAAGCATGGTGAGCATTTAATTTTCGATACATATTGGAAGATTAATGAGTACTTTTTTAAATTTTTAGAAGTATTCTACAACGCTACTGAATTACTTTCTAGTGTTTATTATCATACTGCACATCTAGCTTTAATATTTCTGAAACATTTTCTTATTATAGGGATACTGAACTTTTTGGACCCATAATTAAGTTAATGGAAGCTAAATTTAAAAGTTATTGGGCCAGTTGTCTTATGTTATATGCATTAGCAACTATTTTAGATCCTAGATGTGGATTAGATGAGACTAAATCTTTAATGTCTGCTACAGTAGAAAATTTAGATATTAATATGCAACTAAATATTGCCGAGGCTAGAAAAATTGTTTGCTTTGTATGAAACAAAATACGGAACAAGACAAAAAGAACAGGCAACTTCGACGTCAAGAAGCAGATCGGGGCTTAAAGGTTCATTGTGGAGCTTCTTGAAGAAGAAGGAGAAAGCGCCAGGATCGTCATCAACACAAGCGTCTTCAAAACTAGTTAAATATTTTGAATCAAATTTTGTAATCAATGACGACAAACTGGACATCTTACAGTGGTGGAATAGCAAGACAGATCGTTTTTCAACACTGTTCATAATAGCACGTGACATTCTAACAACTCTGGTGTCAACTGTAACATCGAAGCAAGCATTTAGTGCAAGCAACCGAATTCTCGGCGAGAAGAGGAGCAGAATGTATCCGAATATCTTGGAGGGGCTAATGTGCGTGAAAAACTGGGAAGATGTCAGAAGACGAAAACAACACTATATAGATGATACAATTCAAGAATATTTTTCGAACTTAGACATAACAGAATCTTCTGGAAGCAATTCTTCCACAGTGCAATTTACATATCCTAGAATACTGCACTTTTTTTTCCTTCGCTAAGATTTTGTCCCGATCTCCCTACGGGTTTTACTTTGCAAGTTTTTTAGAAGGCAATCATTTATGTGTACTTATGCATATTATTTCAATTTAATAAAATCACATCTTTTGATAACATATAATATATTTTCTTTTTTTTTAAAAAGGGCATGGGCTTAGATATTAATATGCAACTAAATATTGCCGAGGCTAGAAAAATTGTTTGCTTTGTATGAAACAAAATACGGAACAAGACAAAAAGAACAGGCAACTTCGACGTCAAGAAGCAGATCGGGGCTTAAAGGTTCATTGTGGAGCTTCTTGAAGAAGAAGGAGAAAGCGCCAGGATCGTCATCAACACAAGCGTCTTCAAAACTAGTTAAATATTTTGAATCAAATTTTGTAATCAATGACGACAAACTGGACATCTTACAGTGGTGGAATAACAAGACAGATCGTTTTCCAACACTGTTCATAATAGCACGTGCCATTCTAACAACTCTAGTGTCAACTGTAGCATCGAAGCAAGCATTTAGTGCAAGCAACCGAATTCTCGGCGAGAAGAGGAGCAGAATGTATCCGGATATCTTGGAGGGGCTAATGTGCGTGAAAAACTGGGAAGATGTCAGAAGACGAAAACAACACTATATAGATGATACAATTCAAGAATATTTTTCGAACTTAGACATAACAGAATCTTCTGGAAGCAATTCTTCCACAGTGCAATTTACATATCCTAGAATACTGCACTTTTTTTTCCTTCGTTAAGATTTTGTCCCGATCTCCCTACGGGTTTTACTTTGCAAGTTTTTTAGAAGGCAATCATTTATGTGTACTTATGCATATTATTTCAATTTAATAAATCACATCTTTTGAGAACATATAATATATTTTCTTTTTTTTAAAAAAGGGCATGGGCCCGGACCTGGCCTTGGCCCTTATGGATGAGGGTCTGGGCCAGGGTGGGGCCTGAGGGTCTTCCCTCAGGCCCGGCCCAAGCACAGCCCTAAACAATTTAGGGTCGTGCCTAGCCCGGCCTATGCCCGTGGCAGGCTTGGTGTGGGACGTGTCGTGCTGGCCTGGCACGACACGGTTGACACCTCTAGTATGGCACAATCCACTGTTTAAATTATGTCTTTTCGGCCTCTATCATAATGTCAGATGTTTCCTACTGGAATTCACCTTCTTTAAGGGGCAAAAAAAACAAAAACCATTTTTCCAAAACATTAAAAAAAAAAAAAAAACTTAAATAGATGCTTCATTTACTTGTCAAAACATTAGTAATACAAGCTCTCAAAGAATTATAATGAGGGCAGATAGATATAGTTGCAATTGCAATCCCAGTTCAACCTAAATATACGACTTTCCATGACAGTTTCTCTAAAGTTTTGAAAAAGCTTCGAGGTTGTTCTTTTACAATAAAACTCAAAAAAAATTTAAACTCGAGTTACAATTTTATTCAAGTTCATGTTCTTTTGTAAAATTTGAGTTTGAACTTGAGTTTAAAATTTTTCCTTCAACTCGAGTTCATAAACCCGAACTCAAGTTAATGAACAGTATTTTTTATATTCTTAAAATGTCATAACTTTTTCGTTTTAATTATGATTGAGATAATTTTTTTTCTATACATTCACAACGAAAAGACAAATAAAACCCCACCCATATACCCTATTAAAAATTTTCATCACCATTGAGTTTTTATTAAAATATTATCTAAATACAAATTTAAATTTTGACTCACCCAAATACAAACTCAAAAAGATTCTCAATTCAAATCATAACTCAAATATGCACATCCAAACACAAACTCAAGTTACAACTTCAACTCAAGTTATAATTCAAACTCAATTCAAAATCATCACTCAAGTCACCTAACTCAAAAATACAAATGAACAACCCCTTCGATTTCCAAAACTCTGTTAGAGAGCGCCGCAATGAAAGAGAATCATTATTGTTGATTTTGCTGTCTCTGTTGTGCAAAATTGGGATGACTCTGTGGATTGCTCTGGAGAGTGGCCATGCTGGACTGAAGACTCTGAGCATTTGGGGCCATGTTGCCAAATGCACCTTGTGTGCCATGCTGCTGCTGCTGCTGCATAGGCATCATGGCTCCGGGATTTCCTCCCATGTTAAACACTGCAAGGAAACGCCGAAATCGCAGTTTTGCTTTTAGTATGTATGGGGATGAATCAAGCACAGGGTTATCTAATTGCAACATATCTCTGTTCAATGAGACACAGGAAAATAGTGCGTTGATTCATACTTTGATCACTCAAAATCTGGGAAGCATGAGTTCTCTGAGGATTGTTTCCAGGTAATCCAAACTGTAGTAGCAAATAAAGAAAACAGAATTAGAAATTTTGACAATAAGAACGGTAACAAAATAATATGATACTCATGTGCAGCTTAGCCCCTTTAAACAATGAAGTTCATCTTTCCCCTGTCCAACTACTATTTCGTAACAAGTGCAGGTTCTATACAAAATCCTTGAAATGATGTATTTTGGCTTAAGTTCTTTTCTCGTCCGTAAGGATGGATAGCTCGTCATCTAAAGGATGGCATGCATCGTCGAAATCAGTCCAATCTCTCTGCCATAACCCACTAGTATAGTAACTAGAAATTACATTCATTTTTTCTTTTTTAGCCTGCAAATGCTCTCTCCTAGGATCACACACCAAGTGAGTGAAACCCCAGTACTATGCGCAAGCAGTATTCTAGCGTATTCTAGCGTGTTTCAGTTTATGTAGTATGGCGTTAAAACAGCACCCCTCGCTCAATCCCTACTCACAATAGGTTTGCAACGCAACAAAGCAAGACATATTTGGTACAAACCTGAGATATCCGTGGAAGAAGTGATGGCGATGACATTGTAGCTGACATATTTGGAATCTACAAAAAAATAAATAAATAAATAAAAAATAATAAAAAAAAGAAAGAAAAGAATAAAATTTCACATCTGAGTAATAAAGGATAAACAGGGATTGTCCAAGTTAAATAAATAGAATACTAGAACACTAGGCAACATTAACGTTCTAAAGCTAATACAAAAAACAATTAAGAACTGGAGACCATCATCATGCAGAACAAAAGTACAAATTACAAAAAGGTGAAACCTACTAAATAAAAAAATGAAAGAAAAATATTGAAAAGATAATTGGGCTAGAAATCTGCCGACTCCATGCAATGGAGAAAGGATGACAATTAAATTTATGAGAAGTTCACAAAATCTTCTCGTGAAGATGTAAAAAAAGGGATAGCAGCCTAGTACGAACTATTGTATCATAAAAGACATCAGCATGGAAACAACTGAACTCCAAATCCAGAAACACAATGCAATGCTTCACACAATTTCACAAATAGGATGGAAAGCGGAAATAATATCCAATAGTGGAACTAACATCGTAATTATTTGGAGGTAGAAACAATAAAGGAAACATAAAACAAACAGACCATTTGAGGATTTGTTGTCGTCTGAGCAGCATTAAACAATGCACTATTAGCAGCACTAGAAAACTGGCTCAAATGACGGTTTAATTGATTTCCTTGATTAAGTTGACTTTGACCAATTCCATGTTGGACATGTCCTGATGGCAGCTGCCTACTCTGAAATTGCTGGTGCCCCATTGGCTGAGAAAATTGCATCTGATGTTGCCCATGTAACTAGAGGGAAAAAAAAATAGTTATGAAACCAGTAGGGAAGAGTTGTGTAAAGAGAGTAAAATTAATTCAAAATGGGCCCAGTATTCATCTTATGCTCTTGTTAGAGCCTTCAAACTTCAATCCTTCATTAAGAATTTCCATAAATCTCATGTTAATTATAACAGAAGACACAATATTGGGCACCGTTATATTTTGGAAAAACTTTTGAAATTAACCATTACAACAACAATAACAACACAAATAAATTAATTGATTAATTAAATGAGTAATTAGCTGCAATATACCGATTGAAACTTTTGCTGGGACTGGCCTTGTAAATCATGAAGTTGGGGTAACTGATTCTGCACAACGTATGTTTAGTCACAAGTCACATAATTATCATGGCTGATCATGAAATTGATCTAGCAATTGCATGAAACAAAAATCTATTTGAGTCACTGTTCTACAGGTCAAAAGAAATCAGATACTAAAAATATTAAGAAATAAACAACTTGGGCCTTGAATTGAAACAATTCCTGAAATGATTCTGTGACATGTGTGATAAGAAAATGGCATGCATATACTAAGCTGAGTGGAAGACTGAAAAAGTGGGATTCTATATTTCTTTGTATCAACTAAAAAATGCAATGCAATCACTTCAAGGTCACCCCAAAAAAGCAAAACTTGTTTACCATTTGTCAACGAGAACTCACCTGTCCTAGTCCTTGCATTGCAGATTGCCTAAACTGTTGTTGAGCAAGAAGTTGCTGCTGATGCTGAGGTAATTGCATCAATTTCTGTCTCTGCTGCTGCTGCTGCTGCTGTTGCTGCTGGTGCTGCCGCTGCCGCGCGCTCTGGTGTTGCTGCTGCTGCTGCTGCTGCTGCTGTTGCTGCTGCTGCTGCTGCTGCTGTTGCTGCTGTTGCTGCTGCTGCTGCTGTTGTTGCTGGTTTTGTTGCTGCGGAGATGGTGTGTTCATCATGGTTGCGCTAGACCTTGGTGAATTCGCATATGGAAGGGGAGAAGTTGTTGTGTTATCAAAAGTAGTAGTACTGGCAGCCCCAGGAGATGCGGCTGATCTTCCAAGAAGTTGCGATCCAGTAGCCTGTTTGACATAGTTGAACGAAATAAGATAGAAGATTTAAAAATAAGTATAACCATTGCTTCAAAATTTGATAAAACCCAATCACGAATCATAAAGAAAGAAAGAAAAAAAATAAAAATAAAAATAAAAATCCAAACATTGATCCTTTCAGAAGTAAGTCTATAAACCAACCTGTAACAAAGGGCCTTGACCAGTCAAGTTATTTGATGCCATTGGGTTATTCTTAAGATACATGCCTGCAAGAAATTCACTTAAGTTACTCACAAAGAATAAGATACAAGTGAATAAGCTCAATAAATCAAACCAGTGAATGATTATTACCAGATGCTTCAGAGAAATTTTGCATTCCATCATTTGTAGTAAGCACATCTACAAGATGCATTGGAAGTGCAGGCGTTACCTGCCTCTGGTCTACAGGCAAACGTAGTCCTGCATGCATAAGCGAGTCAATATAAACTATTCCACTTATAAGCATGCTCACTTATCATCAATTCAAGGTTGTTAAGGCTGGTCTTTACAATTATCCTAAGGGAAATATCATACTAGAAAATGACTAATGAAACAGAAAAAGTTAACTTGAAGTGGACAAAATAAAAGACATTATTAACTTCAAGCTGCTTATATATACAATTCTTTTAAAGAGTCGATCGAGTTCATCCATAACCAAGTAAACGGAAAACTTTATGAATTAGTCATTGGACATGGAAGCAATACAGCATTCATAGAACTTTACAACTTAAATATGCAAATGAACAAACATGCAGTTGAAACCTATAATGGGAAGCAGAAACATAAAAATAACAAAAAAAAAAGGGAGAAAAAAGGATAGACGGTAGAGTGCCCATTTATTATTGTACCTTCACCATAATTTACAGCAGCACGGAGTAGATTTTCTTGCTCTTGAATTTTTGCAGCTTGACCTTTGTCGAGAGTAGGAACCATAGGCGGTCCTTGTCGAGCTCCAAAACCATAGGCTTTACGAGTGTCGGCTAATACTTTATCAGCACTCTCGCATGCTGCTCCAATCATATCAATCCGCGCCTGTAAAAATAATTACACTCGAATTTAAAAAAAAATACAATACAAGAATGGAAAATGAAGAACTGAATACTCGACAAATTTTAACTCACCTTCAACTTCTCGATCTGCAAGGCTACTGGTAAGTTCTGCATCCCAAGAAGCAACAGCTCCTTCTTGGAGTTATCATCAGTTTCCATCTCCGGCAACAGCTTCGACGAAAGCATAACCGGGAGTACTGTAACCACAATGATTCATTCTATCACTTCAAAAGTCTGAATGTCTGATAGCTAAAAAATCAATGGCGTATATAATTAAAGAAAAACACTTTAAAAACCTATTTATCCCCTAAATTAAAGCTAGCTACAGAGTAAACAAAAAGCATTCACTTTCCATTATCTTTAGCAAAATAGGTGAACAAATAAGTTTAAAGATCATGAAACAAAAGTTAATCTTCATAGTATTACTACGCAATTTTCTTAGATGCCATTGCAATTTCATAGGGAAATTGATTGCAAAAAGGTAATTTCTTAATTATAAAAAAAAGGTTCATACTTGTTGAGTTTTCGGCATTGACATTCTTGGGATGAACCACAAAGGCCTTGGAAACCTTCCGAATTTCGTCAACAATGTTGAAAAGCTCCATATTCACCATTGAATACTGCCCCAAAATATCTTGCCTAACACATTAACCAGACAAAATTTGACACAAAAACCATCAAAATCAAACTCGATTCGAAAAAATCGAAGTGCCGAAATTGAAGAGATATAGATATAGAGAGAGAGAGAGAGAGAGAGAGAGAGAGAGACCATTTGGGGGTGGTGTTGGTGCGAGCGAAGACGTCCAAATCTTCGAGAGTGCGAGAGATGGCTTTGTGGAGGCTCAAAGCTCGAGTCTTTACCGATTCCAAGTTGAGCTGTTGCTGTACGGCGTCGTTTAGCCTCTCCACGGCGATTGCTTGCTGCTGCTGCTGCTGCTGTTGTTGTTGTTGTTGTTGTTGCGGCGGCTGAGCTTGATTTGCTACCATAACTCCTTCCATGCCTGCCATGGTTGGAGAGAATACAAATTCAGCCCCAAATTGATCGTGAATAGATCACGATGTAGAGTGGAAGTTCGAGGGGTGGAGAGAGGATATCGTGGAGTTTACGACGGCGGAGACGGCGGCAGGGTCTGCCGAACGTGGCCGGAGTCGGTGTCTCGCCGAGTGACGCGGACGGAAGGCTGTTGTGGGGCGGTGAATTGCTGGCCTTTTAGTGATTGTCTTTTTTTTTTTTTGCCGAGTTTTAATAATTTTTAAGGATGTTGATTTCATTTCATAAAAGAAATGTTTAATGTTACTTTGCAGACTTGTCCCCGAACTTGCACGGTTTTAACAACTTGCCTCTTAAATCTACAGAACTATTGCATGTGCCCCATTTCATAAATTTTGCACTGATTATTTGTCATATAAGGGCTTGAGAATCAGTTGAGAAATAGAAAAATTAGGTCAACTAAAGACAAAAACACATGATTTGTCAAACAATGATCTACAAAATTCCCATGTAACAAACATTGGCATATAGTTACAGATTTAGCATATGACCAGTGGGGGCACGTGCCCCCCACTCAAAGTTTTTGAATTTCAAATTTAGCCAATACATTTCTTAAACTTTGTTATTTTTCACCCCACCCAAATAAATTTACTAGAATGCTCTCAGAAACATATGGGTATTTGGTAAAAAAAATTTAAAGTGGTTGTGAATACCAAAAATAGAAATTTAAGTGTTTGATAAACTATGTACAAAATTATTGTGAAAATATAGAGTAAAATTGACATACTTTAACACACATACTTATAACTAGTTTTATTTATATTTTTATAGTCAATATTCATAATATTTACACCAAAATACTAAAAAACATATACCTTCAAAAAAATATATAATTCTCATTGTATTAATTAAAATATTTCTAAAAAATAAATTGATTTTATTTAAGGAGATAAATTATATCTATAAAGAAATTAAATAACATAAAGAACTGCATGTAAATTATTTTCAAACTTGTAACATGATTCTTGCCCTGACCCATTCCCATTGGTGGATCCATATACATAGAGCTTCTACTTGGTTACCTCGTTGCCCTATACCTACTTTGTTACTACAGGCCTATAAGAGAATTCTGCATAAAATCTACTACGGCTTGCCCTTTTATTGCTACCCTCAGTGTATATTCAATATCGAATTGGCTTAGCTCCACTGACCATTTTAGCAGTCGACCAGATATCTCAGGTTTTTGTAACACCTTCCTCAGAGGATGGTTCGTCAACACCTTTATAGTGTGCGCCTAGAAATAGTGGCGGAGCTTCCTCGATGTTACAACCAAGGCGAGGGCTAACTTCTCCATCTCTGGATATCTGATCTTGGCGTCCAGGAGACCCTTACTCACATAGTAAACAGGTAGCTAAGCCTTTTCTTCTTCCCTAACTAATACTGAACTCACATCATGCTCTGAAACGAATAGACAGGCTTAACTTTTCACCTGGAATTTGTTTGAAGAGGATTGGAGGCTTAACCAAATGTTCCTTCAGCTTCTGGAAGGCTTTTTTACATTGTGGAGTCCATTCAAAACGTTTGTTTTCCCTAATTATATCAAAGAAGGGAACGCATTTATCCATCGCTTTGGATATAAACATGTTCAGGGTGGCGACACATCCAGTCAGCTTTTGTACCTCTTTCGCCTTTGTAGGGGACTGCATGTCTAGTAGAAGGTTCAGCTTCATGTGATACTTTCTCATAATGTCTAACATTTCCCCAAAATGCTCAACCAGTTGATCTATACGCGGTAGGGGGAAGCTGTCCTTCGGGTAGCTTTATTCAAGTCGCTGAAATTGACGCATGTTCTCCACTTCCCATTAGGCTTTATGACCAACATATGGATCGAGATCCACTCTGGATAATAGGCTTCTCAAATAAAGTTGTTCTGTATTAACTTTCGACTTCTTCCTTTAAGGATTCATACCTTTTCGGGTGGCGCTTTGGTGGAAATGAGGGGTCGATGTTTAAGCAATGACACATTACGTCTGGGTTAATTCCTTCCATGTCATCGTGAGTCTACGCAAATACATCTAAGTTCTTCTTCCAGAACTTTCCAAGCTCTTCCTTTAGTGCTGGAGATAAGGTCGAGCCAATCTTCAAAACCTTTGTCGGCTCATTTTCATCTACCTTGATTTCCTCCAACTGCTCGACCGGCTACGATCCTGTAATTTCCTCATCGACCCTTGATTTCCTCTAACTGCTCGACCGGCTACCTTGATTTCTTGTTTTCCTCATTGATCGGCCTCTGACTGACCATTCGCATTTTCAGTCTCCGATTGTCGTCATACTCATGCACTGCGTCTGAATATGCAACCCTCGACTCGTACTGATGGCATTTCATCTCTCCTACACCATTAGGAGTTGGGAACTTGATCTTATAAGAGTTCACCTTCCTATCATAGCGTTATACTGTGATACCCTTTTTATTACCACAAAGTTTGCCATCACCATGGCCTGTCGAGGCTTCTCTCCCGTTGTAATGGATAACTTAACCATCCCTTGGGGAATGATTGAATCCCCAGTAAACCCATACAGAGGTCGAGTGGTTCTCTCCATCCGTTCCTTTGGTACCTTCATCTTAGTTAAGCAGTCGGAGTATAGAATATCCACTGAGCTCCCATTATCTACTAAGATCCTGCAGACTGTATGGTTTACGATCATTACTTCAACCACCAATGCATCATTTTACGGGAAGTGCACTCCATTTGCATCTTCTTCTGTAATGATAATCTCTGTACCGTCTAGCTGCGGAGCTTTTAGTGGTCTAGTTAATGAGAGGTTTCAAAACCTCTCCTGATATTCATGGGCATAATCTTCTGGGATCTTCTCAAATCCCCACTTATATACGGACCTCCATGAATCGTCCGTATAACTCCGACAAGCTCACAATCCTCTCCTCGTCAGTTATCATCCCGACGACGATTACCGTTCCTCTATCCATCATGATTTCTTTTGTCAGCCCTAAACTCTTGCAGTCGACCTTCACGAACGAGTCTTTCAATCTCGTCTTTTAGGTATGTTCAATCGTTGGTATTATGGCCGACCTTCCCATGGAACCAACAGTACTTGTTCTGGTTCCTCCTGTTTGGGTCTGACTTCATAGGTTCTGGTCAGCGTAACATATTTTCTCTACCAACTTGATTATAAATCTCTTCCATACTAATGGTCAACTTATGATAAGTGTCATACCATTAGAATAGACGAGATTAGTGATGTGTATATCTCTTATTTATATATATATATATATACATATATATATATATATCAATATATTTAAGCATAACTGTGAATAAATTAATCGTAAACACAATGATCTTATAGCTTAGTGGCAGCTACTTTAATTAACAATGATCTTCATGATCTTCGTATTTCATATATATATATATATATAAATATATGTACGTATATGTGTATTATATAGTTTCTTGGAAGCTAGTGTTAATTACACCTATACGACGCACTGCTTAGTTGTTCAATTGGCCGTACGCTCAAAAATATTTCTTTAGTTAACGTCGGAAATAATGATCTCTTCATATAATTTCTCATAGCAAAACAAGGTATAAGCTAGTTCTTCCATAACATTTATTCTTTTATTCCTTAATGCACCTAATTAATTAATGCTAATATAATTGTTATCTTGCTCATGATCATAATCTCATATTTTGCACAGACAGATATAAAGTAAATCTAATGACTTTTCTTTTCAGGTTATCCTAGTTCGATCATGATGAGGACCGAAGTCGTTCCATCAATTTTTGTTGCCGTCATGATCTTGATTTCGCTTTCTAATTCTATGGAAACCGAAACAGGGTCGAGGCATGATTTGGAAGATCAAGGGGGATCAAGATTGAAGACAAGCCGTAAGATGATAAATCATATCCTACGCAATGATGTAAATTAATATGGCTGCGTAATAATGTGTTACAGCAAATTAAATAAATTTCATATTGTTATGTGAGGGTGTGATAAATAATTAATGTGTATGTCTATATATATATGCAAGCCTAATTGTGAATATTAAGTTAGGTATTGAGCAAGATAATATATGGTTATGAAACCAAGATAATATATGGTTGAAGTAAACTACTAGTTATAACTAGTACTAGCCAGCTATGTACTAAATATTGTGCTTCGCATTGTGAGGGTTAAATATATACGCTATAATCCATATGTATATATATACACATGATATGTACATATATACAGATACATATACATATATATATAATGCAACTTGTTCCTTTTTCTTTCCCCTACAAGTTTGTTGCACTAGAATATTTGTACAATTAAGCAACAAACATAATGTAAAAAAAAATAAATAATAAAAATTAAGATAGGCTTTTTTTTTTTCTGTTGTCTTATTGTGAGATCGGTCTTATGAGTGTAACAAATAAAGTTTGAGGTGTAATAAGAAATTTATTTTAACGATGATTAAAAAAAAAAACAAAAAAACAAAGAGGAATTCTTTTATCACTGAATATTTGTTAAAAATTTCACAGAAGGTTGCATCTCATGAACACTGCAATATTAGAGATGCCCTATTCTATAGCTTACACCAATTAATCATAAAGTGTAAAAGTGAGAAACTGAAAATTTTGATAACAAGCTGCATGCTATTGGAGATATTTAATTGCTCGTAACAATAAATCATATATAGCCAATTAGCCGTCGAATAGTCTTCTGCGGAAAAGGAAAAACGTACGAACCCAAATTAACCTGGTGAAAAGTAGATTAATAGAAGCATATTATGTTTAATTTCTTCTGGTCTTAACTAGTATATATATATATATATATATAATATCGGAATCATATGAATGGAGGTGTTTCTTCCACCAAATTAATACTAGGAACATCCAAATTAGAGGGAGGAAATAATACGACTAAATAGCTAGCTGCATTTCCTTTTAGCAAAATAGATCATATCACGTATCATGTTCTTGCAAGGGATGAAAAGAGAAATATAAATATCATGCTATATAAATCCCAAAGGAAAAAAAAGGAAGAGAAAAATAAAAAAATAAACCTTAATTTATTCATGTATTTTTATACTTTATCAAGGAGATAGAGAATACTATCATGAACATTGCACATACGAACACAAATTGAATGTAATCGTCATGAGGATGTGGTGCTGGTGAAGGGGAAGGAACAAGCGCAACAAGAGCCCTAGGAGAGACCATATTTTTGTCGTTTCTACCATTCGTCTGTAAGACTGAATAATAATTACCAACGCCCACAAGATTTATGTATGGGTGTGATATTAATGGTTACTTTATTATTTACCTATGGGAGAATATTAACTATGTGATATTGATTTAATGGTTGTAAAAAATTGAATAGTCGACCGGAAAAAATATATGACAATTAATGTAATTAAATTCTTACCACTCTACATCATTAAATTTGTGTGATATTGATTCAATAGTTGTAAAAACTTGAGTAGTTGATTGGAAAAAATAAATGACAATTAATGTAATTAGATTCTTATCACTCCACATTATCAAATTTATATACTTAATAAGTAACAACCAATGGAAACTTAACTATTAAAACTATTAAAACTCGTATATATATAAAATACATATATATATATATATATTATATGTTGAGGCTTTTTTTTATTACCCTTTTTCTTTAGAAGTAAAATAAGGAAACTCCTCCCCTCCTTTTTTTTTTCCTAAAAGGAAAAGAGAATTGAGGACAATTCTTAACTTTCCTTAATATATACAGAAAGCTCTAGTAAAAATCTTCGTAATTTGGTTCCTCATAAAATCTAGGGTTAGAAAAGAAAACACGAATCCTTTCTCTCTTTTTTTTTTTTTTTTTTTGAAGTAAAACACGAATCTTTCGCTATTAACTTTTTCTTCACTTTACCGCTTGTGGTATTGTAAATTTAAGGTACAAAATTTAGTTCAGTTAATCCAGATTGTTTACCAGGTATATCTTCATGTCTTAATATATATATATATATATATAGATTCATTTTTTCTGTTAAGTACATGATAATTTAGGATGTTTAGAAGGAACACATAAGATATATTTAAAGTTAATTTCCCTATATTAATCCAGAAAATTACATATACTACAACTGATCGTTAAGCGCGATCGATGTAATCTTGGCAGAATAGAGAGAGGTTTCTTTTTTTTTTTCTTGGTTCAAAACCTACTGTTGAGCCCCACTTTATTAGAAAACACACACTAGTACCATACATTATTGCATATGCACTTTTATGTATCGACCATATAAATTTTCATCACATATATATATATATATATATCTATATCTATATCTCCGGGAATAATGTCACTTGTCTTATGGGTTTCCCATCCTTTGAGCTCTCTCCGGGGGGGACAAATAATTTTCAGGTTTCCGGTGGCCCGACTTGAGCAGTACAGTTCCGTCGTCTCGGATCTTACCATAATTCGCTTCGTTTGCATGAATGCCATTTTTGCCAATTTCAGTGATAGCTCCAACATTATTCGGATCATGATCATATCGAAGTTGATCAAGCACTTGATCAGGCTTGGTGGTGGCTAGTCTTTTGGCTTTGGCTTCACGAGATGCAACAATAAAAAGCTGGCAACGAAGAGTGCAAGTGATACCTACTAATTAATTATCTCATATATATATATAAGTTAGTAGAGCTAGGGTTATGAAAGAATATAAACTTGCTTATTAAAAAAAATGCCTAAATAAAAGTTAGTAGAGCTAGGGTTAGAGAAATGCCTAAATAACTTGCTTATAAACTTCCAATATATGTGTATATATATATATATGTGTGTGTGTGTGTGTGTGTGTGTGTGTGTCCATCAAGGATGTTAGTTGTAGAGTGCAATTAATATGGATGCTGATTCATGAGATAGTTGATATGATAAAAATTGATCTAACTAAAAAAGGTCAACAAATTACGGGCAATAGTGGGGATAGTACAATCTTGTTGCTTCATTGTGAGTGGGCTGTGGCCACATTTAAGAAATCATAATTTAATTTGTTGATTATTTAAGCATTATAATTTATTGTTTAGTTTAGTTTTTTTTTTTTTTTTAATTATAGCTGAGAAACAACGTGCATTTATGCCAGCTCGCAACACTAGCTGGGTGATTGCTGGTCGGATACAGACAATTTTTACTGTTAGTAATTTCCAGTTTGCATAATTACGTATGACCCTGTTAATATAAAGTATTTATAAGGAACACGTTATATATATATATATATTTAAATTATTTTCCCCATAATATTAATTCAAAACACATATATCACAATTGATCATTAACCGAATAAATGTAATCTTGGCTGAAAAAAAGAGGTTGGTTTTTCTTGGGTCAAAACCTGTCGAGTCCCAATTTATTACAGCCACAAACACTAGTACCAGAGTTTCATCAAAACCCACATGGTTCAAACCTAATTATGTCGCAGGCCGGGAAAGAGATGGTGAGATACTTTGCCCGAGTCCGATCCAGCCTTACCGTAAGGTTCATTATCTTCATCTTCTTTGTCATTAAAATACTTATAATTATTGCCAATTCCATCAAGTGCTCGAACAATATTAAGTACGTACCTTTTGGCCATGATTATTATTCGGATCGCTTCGGAGTTGATCAACAGCTTGATCAGGCTTTGTGGTTGTTAAATCACTTTTGGCTTTGGCTTGAAGAGATACAAACAAGACGAAGATGGCAACGAAGAGTGCAACTGAGATCTTCATGATGATCAAACTGCTTAATAATTGGTCTTCAATACTAATTAACCCTGAAAGCGAAGAAGAAGAAAAAAAAAAGATGCATATTATAATCACAAGGAATACTAAGTAAGCCTCTTCTAATTAATTAGTGATCAAATTAACGTAAGAAGAGTAGTTATGAAGGAATAAGTACCAAGCTTCTTTCCGGTGAGAATTGTCTGAATAACTTGCTTATAATCTTCCAATATATATATATACGAATACACACACACACATATGGACTTCCAGTTGGAGATATATGAAGGTTTTTTAATACAGTCCAAAAGTACGATTTTTAATAATCTGAAGGTGGAAGGTATAAAAATGAACGAAACAAATCTTATATTCTTTATGATCTTAATTTGATAGTTGCTTTGTGAATGAACAGAATGTTGATTGCACTAAAAAAAGTAGAAGGACGCGTGGAGGTATCACAATATTGTTGCACAATTGGGACCGCGGGCTGTCGCCACAAACACAAATAATCATGATTAAGGGTTCATTTGGTTCATGCATCTAAGTCAACGACTCTAATTTATTAGTGGGAACTTTTTAAGAGAATCATTGGCAGGAATTTTTTGAATTCAAAGTCTTTGTGAGTAGAAAATACTATATCAAAATCAGAATCATGTGTTTAAATATATTTATTAAACGGGGCCTAAGCTTGTTTATTGAGATGCTTTTATTGAATACTTTTCTTAATAATTTATTTAGGGTACGTTATATATTCATTTCCAATATGTCACTTTGCAACACTAGCTAGGGTGATGGCTGGTTAGATACAGACAATTTTTACTGATAGTAATTTTCCAATTTGCAATAATTATGAGCAATGATGCAAATACTTTATGTTTTATTAATGTTGCTTTAGCTCATAATTAATTACTACCTTATATTAATGAGGTCAAATTTAGCTGCAATATATAAATGTGAGATGTCTGAGTACTTTAAACACCAGAGTGACAGTGCAATTGTAGCAATAAAGATTCAGAACAAGAATTTTAGCTACAACTTCCCTTATCATAAATCTCTAACGCTTTTCTTTGTTTTCCTTATAATATCTTGGTACAATATCTAGAAAGTACCCCAAAAAAAAAAGAAAAATAAATATAAAATTATTTTCAAATTTCTCTAAGTTGGTCAAAGTAGGAAAAATTACATTGCTAAATATTTTAAGAACATTAAGAGTCTGTTTGGCTGACACGTTCAAATCAGTGATTCTGATTCATTTGTGAAAACTTTGTAAGAAAAAAAATTTTAAAATTTAAATTTTTTGTGAGATAAAAAATACCGTAACAGAATCAAAATCATTAATTCAAATATATCAAACTGGACCTAAAATAATATATAACATCATGAACTTAAACATCTCTCTCTGTTTTTTTTTTTCTCATTCTCTCATTTCCTCTCTAATCTTGAAAGCTCTCTCTCTGTGGCAACTGTCGAATCAGTTGATGGGGCGAGACCATCACCAAATGCCGAAGAAATTTTTCTTTCCAGATTTGTAATAAAAGTTGATAAGTTTTTTGACCTTTTTTTTTTTTTTTTTAAATAGAAGAAAACTTGCAGCAAATAAATCCAGTTCTCTTCTTCTATTAAAGGCCAATTGTCAAGCTTTATTCACTGAGGTTTTTTTTTTTTCTTTTTTTTCCTGGAAATTTTCCTTTTCTGTTTCATTTATATAGATGGGTCAGATTCCAAGTTTGTGTGTGATTCCAACGCCCTCATCTTAGTCGTCCATCAAGCAGCCTATGGTGTTAGATTCGCTCATAAACTTGCCACATTTCCTCACCTTTGAAAAGCGTCAATAATAAAAAATATTACTACTACATTTTTTTTGATAGATTTACTACTACATTTTTAGCCGTATGATTTATGTTATAATTAATAATTTACCTTATGAAAAAAAATCGTATCAATCCGTCTAATTTTAGATTTTCATAATTTAATTAAGTTAATTTTGTTAAACTTAAATTGATTTTCTTTTATTTTGATATAATTGTAATCATAAAATTATATTATTTCGTCAATTTTTTTAAAGGGTTTTAAATCGACCAGGTAATGGGCAGTTACTTGTCGTTGATTTTGATGACAAATGTGAGGCATCTCAAGAGGGTTCGGTATCGGGAGAAATTAGCGACGAAGTATTTAAGAAAGTTAAATAGTATATGAAAAATTTGACACAATAAATAACATTGTATTGAAAAGTGGTTTTTTGCACTCAAATGTTAAATTTGTAATTAATACATTAATTATAGCATTGCATTGGAGATGCTCTTAGAAGAGGTTCGACCATACAGGTGATGGACGATTACTTCTTGTTGATTTCAATGACGCATCTCAAAAGGGTTAAGCGTCACGAGAAAGCAGTGATAAAGTATTATGAAAAGTACAATTATCTTTTTATGTAAATACAATTTTGTAGATATCTTTTCAAGTTTACATTTTAAAATAATTAGGAGATTGAGAAAAATTATGACATAACTTAAACTATTAAATATACAGGATAATTGTTAACTTTCCAGTTCAAGTCTGCCTTGATAGGGATATAATCAAGGAACATTTCCAATTGATTGTACGTCGAAGCTCTAAAAACCTTTGATTGTTTCCTCAGAAAATCTATGGTTAAAAAAAAAAAAAAAAAAAAAAAAAAAAACTGAATCTTTCACCATGCACGGAGGGAGATGGGGTTTAGAGATAAGGTTTAGTGGGGGCTCAAACTTATTTTTTCTCAAAAAAAAAAAAAAAAAAAAAACATATACATAATCATGTAATTTATTATATCAATATACATATAGCCCCCATTTAACATAAAAAATATATCTTATAATCTTATTCTTAATGTTGTTTTAATTATAAGCCCCCACAAACAAACGCTTCTAGCTTCGTCCTTTCGCAATTAACTTGTTTCTTTCGAAATTTTGTTTATCCAGATTGTTGTATTAGGTATCTTCATGTCTGAATATATACCTCCTCTTTTTGCCCTTTTACTTACAAGGTAATTTGGAGTATATTTAGATAAGGAACGCATGAAATATATAATTTAAATTATTTTCCGTACATACTAATCCAAAATACATATATATTATATCACAATTGATCGTTAACCGATCAACGGCATGAACGAAACACGTTGATTTTTTCTTGATTCTAAACCTGTTTGAGTCCCAGTTTATTATAAAGCCATACACACACTAATACCGGAGATTTATATATATACATAGGAAATTAAGTCACACATATATGTAACGCTTCAAATACACACACAACTCTCACGGAAATTAAGTCACTAATTATATAGATGAGGGTATTTTGATATTCTACGAGCTTTTCAAAATAAATAAAAAATGAAAAATTCCTATGTTATGTATCATCATGATTAGATCGTTGATCTGTAAGTGATCGGAATGTTGATCGCATTACAAAAGGTCGAGGAACACTCAGTGGGGGTATCATCATGTTGTTGCACCATTAGGAGCGTGCGCTACGGCCACAAACATAAGTAATCATGATTCTGTTCGTTTATTATGGGTCCGTTTAGTTCGATGATTTGAGTTTTTAATTCGAGTTGATATGTGACTTTATGTGAGAGTTTTTTTACTATAGTAAAAAAATTAGATGTGACTGTTTATGAGAGTTTTTTACTATAGCAAAACTCGAATCGGTGAAATAAACGGGGCCTAAGATGCTTTTATTCAATACTTTTATTAATTATAATTTATTGAGTAATAGTATGCGTTATGTATTTTCCATTATCTCAAGTTGCAACACTAGGTGAGGGCTGGTTGGATCTGCACAATCTTTACTGGTAGTAATTTTCCAATTTGCAATAATTATGAGCAACATGTGAATACTTTATGTTTTATTATAAATGTTGCTTTCACTAATGCCAAACTAAATTAACTATAAGAGTTACTATGTTATGTTTATGAGGTCAAAACTATAGCTGCAACATATATAAATGTGAAGTGAGTACTGTAAACACCGGAGTGACAGTACAATACAATGCTTATACTTTGTATTAAACATGCCCTTATGTGTTTCTAAAGCCTCATTATTACAATTGTATTAGGAAAAAGACACAAAATTTAGTGAGATTTGATAAATATTTGAAGATTTAAAACTGTGCTATGCCAGCAAAATATTTATTTTTCCTAATCATTTTTATCCCCCATACATAGAATATGTCTTTAATTCAACAATATTATTAATTTATCAATTTTATGGTTACTGATATAATATAATTCTAAATATACCTTTTTTTTTATCTGAGTGATTGTGAATTTATAAAACTAATTTTAAAAGATAGTTAACTAAAAATAAAAATGTCATTACCAATAATTTTACAGATTTATATACAAATATAATAACTTATGGACATTCTTTTTTCGTTCATTATTCCACTGTAAAATAAAATAGACTTATATGTAATTAACTCTTACCATATTAGCTTTTTAAATGTCGAATGCACATGAAACGCATGCACCCTCGGCTTTCTGTTGGACTGGGCCCATCATTAACAATATGGGCCATATTCTCGGACGGCCCAACTAGGCAGCACTTAAAAAGTACGTCATTCGCGCCAATTCTTAGACCGATTTTCCCCCCAATTTTCACTGCGTTTTTTGCAGAGAGAAGAAGATAGATCTCGGTCCTTTGTGAATTCATCAATGGAATCGGGTTCAGGTGATGGTTCGACCGTACCGAAGATGGACGATTACGAGTCGTTGATTTCGACGACGGACGTTGAGCATCTCAAGAGGGTTTGGCGTCGGGAGAAGGCGGCGCCGGAGATCTTCCAGTTCGAGTCTGCCTTGATAGGGAGAATCAAGGAACAGATCCAGTTGACGGTAGGTCCAACCTCTGAAATTTCTTTTTGTCTCCCCGGAAAATCTAGGGTTAGAAATGGAAACACCAATCTTCCGCTATTGTGGTACTTTTTTAACTGGCTTTTTCACTTTTAAGTTCTTGTGGCACTTTGTTAAAGTTGCGAAATTTAGTGAAGTTAATCCAGATTGTTATACTAGGTTTTTGATCGGAGGTATTAGCAGAGTAATTTACACGAATAATGAAAAAAATTAACTAGGGCTAAGTTTTGATTAACAAGGTACTTCCAATATTAGGGATTGGTATCTCATCCTGATGCTATTTAGTGATGCAAGTTAACTATGGATGGTTTGATCAAGGAAAACCCACAAAATTTTCCCTTTAACAGAAATTAGATTGTTAACGTTGTATTCTCAAGAATTACAAAAGCTTCCTCTCGGTAATACCTTTTAAGTAATAATGTTATACAATTAGGAAAGATGTGAAAATTATCTTGACAAGCCTTTTTTTTTTCCCTTCACAACTACCCTAAGCTTATTTGAAGGCAATCCATGTCTAATTTTGACTGAATCTCGCTTTAGGAGTGGAATTTTCTCTTTGACAAGCTGAGAGATTACTTTTAGATTTCCTAAGAATGTAAGATTGAATGTTGTATTTCACTTGAAGTCAAGGGAGGATTTGTTTTCGTTTTTGTTTATGTTTTTAATGTTCCTTTCAATTACTAAGCGCATTATTAGGTTTGCAATGTAATCATGGTGCTATATAGTGATACAAAAAATTTTATACATACTACAGGAAGAGACTGTGGAGGAATTTGTGGAAGCTAAAACTGATCCACTTACTGTATCGCTCTACCAAATGGATCTGGACAGAACCCAGTTCTTATTGAGGTCATATCTTCGAATTCGTCTTCAGAAGGTAGCTATTAATGTCCTTTCTCTTCTCTGTTATTTTATTTTATTTTGGGAGGGATATCAGGGCCACGTTTTACGTAAATTGCTACTAAACGAGCAAACTTTAGCAAAACCAAAGTGGTTATGGGCGTCATGGCCACAGTTTTAGATAGCAAGGTATGATGGTTAAAGTTGTTGAAGTGTGGATTGGCAAACATGGTTTTTGGTATCAAATGTACCCATGATTTTATAGTTTAATTAAAAACTCCCTCTTGCAGATTGAGAAATACATGTTCCATATCTTAAAAATGGATGAGCTCTTTAACCGTCTTTCTAAAGAAGAGAAATCATTTGCTGAAAGGTAGGAGGTTAGCTCTTTCAGTTATATTCTTTTTAGCAAAGAGAGCACTATTTTTATGATGTTTTTTAAGGTAACTTTATGGCTGCAGATGTTGTGACGACTTAAAGATGCATCTTGAAGATTGTGTTCTCTCAAGATTGCCCGATAATTATCAGTCCATACTCAAGCAATCCATAATAAGTGAAGAGACTGACATGGGTACCTTTTCACCCTTTGTTGTATTTGTTACTAATCATAAGCCATTGCTTTTATTCACTCTCAATGCGTGTTGATGCATGTTCTGTTTGTAAATGCATAAATTTCTGTGATATATTTGTAGCCCCTGTTTTGGTTCTTCTTCAATTCTTTTGATGCTTTTATATTACACTGATAAGTCATAAGCATCTCCTCAAATCCAACTTCCAACCGCTGCGTGCATTTTAGTGATGTCGTGCATTTTACTGATGTCTTCGTAAACTAATATTTACAGATCTAAATCTGATTACGATGACACACACACACACACACACACTCTCTCTCTCTCTCTCTCTCTCTCTCTCTCTCTCTCTCTCTCTCTCTCTCTCTCTCTCTCTCTCTCTCTCTCTGCTGTTCTTGTTAAGTTCTTTATACTGCTCCCCTTTTCTTTTGGATCCAGATTGGATCTAAGATTCATGTTATGGTTGATTAGAGAACTTATGTTGTTTCCTGTTTTAGGGAACTTATGTTTTATGTTGTTTTCTGGTTGATTAGAGAACTTATGTTTTATGTTGTTTTCTGGTTGATTAGAGAACTTATATTGATTCATCTACACTGAAAGACATGCAGACGTAGGAATAGGCTGATGTGGATTTAACTTCTGGAAGGTTGTGCTATATATTGATAGGATAAGAGTCTAATCTGAAATGGAATTTGGTGTTAGAAAATTAGTGTGCATGATTTGTATGCTTATTTATGCATCTTTTCTGTCAAATGGGAACGCACATGCAGGATTCGGTTTTCTACATGACACTTTCCAGGATGTGGTTTCTAATTCTATTGTTTGAGTTTAAATTGTTTATTGCTATGTGAATTTCAGTCCCAAAACCGCAATTGGATACGTTTGTCGTATGCAAGACCAAGTACTATCTCGGACATATTCAGCTCGAGGATGGTGATAATGGAAATCCGGATGACAGGTAGAAAACCTTCCCACTCGTCTTCCCATTATTTGCTCCGTCTTCATCAAGTCATATGGATCATACCTTTTGTGCACACTCTACTCTTCTTTTTTCCACTTTGTTGGGATCTCTGGCTCTTAGAGAAATGACTTACTCCGTTTATTTACCGGATTGAAATCTTGATTTTGACAGAGGAAATCAGAGACACTTGGAGGAGCCCTTTGAAATGGAGCCTAACGTTTTGTACTTTGTCCGTTACAAACCGATAAAGAAGTTTGTAGAAGAAGGGAAGATTGATTTGTATTGACTAACTCTATTCCAATTTCCAACCATTCAAGGAAAAATGGGCAAGTGGAAGGTGTTATATCATAGTTGGCCCTCTCCACTAGATATTTTGGTAACTTCTATTTGACGTCTTACCAAGCTATTAAGAAATTGTGAAATGTGGATGTAATATTACTGATTTTCAGCCTTCGGATATGCAAATGAACTTGTTCTTTGTCCTATAAAGGATGTAATGCCCTTATTTGGGAGATTCTACTGCAACTTGTAAGCGTATTTTCTCTCTGAAGTATACCTTTAAATATTCTTTAAAATATACCTTTAAATTAGAGAGAGAGAGAGAGAGAGAGATCTTTAATGAGAATGGAGAACAGAAGACAGCATATGGCATTTGTGACCCTCTCTAATCCTATATTATTGGAATATAACAGCTTGCTTTTTTTTTTAAATTCATTTTATTTGACGGGAACAGAATAAAAATAAGCTTTCCACCCTTTCTTGTTTGCTACTCCTTTACACTTTCATGTCATTGCAGTTATATTTGTGGAACACCCCTGTTCCTCTCGATGGGAGCCCCGTCAGGTTAGTGAAAGTATGAAGTTTTATCTCTTATCGTAATAAATATCATTTTTTTTTTCAAAAATAAACATAAAAAAGAGAGACATTTTAAGTTAAAACTCAAATTTAAACTCAAATTTTAAGACAAAAGAACGAGCCCTTAAAACAGCAGTAAACATGACCCAATTTTGATTTACATTTATTTATTGGCAGGAACCAACTGTTGAATGTTTCGCCCAACTTCTATGCATAGTTTATGGACTTTCATGGCTAGTTACATTGAATTTCTAAGTTGACCATATTGTTTTCCTTAAAAATACGGATAATTCCACCATGTCGCTTTCCTCAAAAATACGTATAATTCTAAATTTGCACAAAATAACAACATACATTATAGTTGTACACACGTGACCAAAAAACCTTTGTGGTGGCAAATGGACCCTATAATACACGCCAATCTAAAAAGGGAATAAATAAATATACGCGGAAGACAAAGCAAACAGACATATTTTGACTTAGAGGCTAGAGCAATGCCATTTCATTTGGACGCCACCAAACCAATACAAATAACACCCACAAAATTTTCCCTCCACAACTTTTCTTGGAAACTACCACCAAAGACAATGAAAGTTGTGTCGTTACTGTGAGCTGGCTGTGGCATTTTATATTATTTTCCACAGACCATAAAAAGAGGAGTCAAAGTCAACGATGAAAGAGAGTCTAGTCAAAACAATCAACGGCCAGGATCCTAAGCAGGCCTTGGTAGGACACACCCTCCTTCTCATCACCACCGCCCAACGCAATCATGGCCTTGATGTCTTCATCGCTGGCCCAGAAGCCTGCCCATTCCATGTAACTCTTCAAGTCCTCATGGCTCAGCTTGCCGTCTCCGTCCTTGTCCATCACCTTGAACGCCTCCTCCATTATGCCGCCGCCGCTGCTGCCGCCGCCAACACAGCCGTTGAGAACCTTCTCGAACTCCTCGTACCCCACGAACCCGTCTTTGTTGGAATCCGCCGCCTTTATCATGGACCCAATGGTGCTCTCGTCAAAGCCGCCGCTCGAAAACCCCGAGTAGAACGCTCGGAGATCGTCCCGGCTTATCTTGCCATCCCGGTCGACATCGATGACGTCGAATGCCGACCGAAAACCGGACTCCGAGGTTGTGGCCGAGGATGTGCTGCCGATAGTTCTGTCCGAAGGGCACATGTTAAGGATTACCGCAAGAGAGTGAGACGTCTAAAATGAGAAGGTTGTGAGATGGGGTGGTAGTATTTGAGGGGGGTATTTATGGTGCGAGACATTTTCAAGAGAGAATTGTGGGGTGGGTCCCCACAAGTTTGGAGGATTCACGTTGGCTTGGAAAGCAAGGTGGAGTACGCATGTAATGACGTAAGACGAGTGAGCTGTAACAAAATGAGCGGTCTTTGTTTGAGAGGATTCTGTTAAATTTTGAGTGTTTTTGATTGATGCTGTCTCTTTTGTTGTGCACCGAATTTCCTTCTAAGTTATCCTTTTCAACTATTTTTTTGTTTTTTGTTTTTTGAGTTAGTGAGTTTTCTTTTGTTTTTTTTAGATATTTAATGGATGTTTAATTTATAAATTTAAAATTATTTTTAATTTATATATATTTTTATAAAAAAAAATACTCTAACAAATTACGATTAGCTCTTTAGTTTGGAGTGACAGAGATTTTGGTGGTTAAATTCAAATGGTGCCAAGCATTAGCACGGTATGTTTTGGTTATTTGCTGGCGTTGGCTTTTTGGTGACAGGCTACCGGCTGACAAAATCACGTGTGGTCAGTGTTGTAGCTCTTCGTACCACTCAATGGTTCTGACTTCTACACTTGTCTGAGTTCTATCATCTATGATGGGAGACACTTTCAACCTCGTTGCATACAATCATGAATTATATAATGGTCTCATTTTATAATTGTTTATACATGATTATAATTATATGCAATATACATGCGCCCAGCCGAAAAAAAAGTACATGGGTCTCATTGAATAATGATAGTATAGACAAGGGATTGATATTTGAATGGGGATTAGATTTGTAGGTTTTTTTTTTCGTTTGCTATTTTTTCCTTCGAAAATAATCAAACTACTATTTCATCGAGTTAAAATGGCCAATTAGAAGGGGCCTGTTCTTTGAGTAACGAATTTAGTTGAGGTTAGCCCGTTAAAGGGTAATGTTGACAAATATAATTTAAAAAGTATATAGATCAGAATTTTTATTTTTTACTCTTAATTTATAATTTTTTTAATTAAATAATTTCACTAATAAAATAGTATTTATCAAGAGTAAAAGATAAAAGTTCAGACTTATGTACTCTTAAGGATAAATTCTGTAATTTTCTCGCCCGTTAATCAATTACTAAAAAGAAAAAAAAAAGAAATGAGATAAATACTCTTTAGAGTGTATGAATTTAAATTTTTACTCATTATTTTTAATTAAAAGAATATTAGTTAAAAATATGGAGTAAAAATTCAAAATTATAGCCTCTAAGAGTAATTTCAATAATTTTCTAAAAAAAAAAGAAAAAACAATGCATTAATTTTGGGCTACGAGATTCTGGGCCAACCCAATAGACTGTTGCAGCTGGCCCAGCACAAGAAATGGTCCTAATTTGTTGGGCTCTTCATTTGAGACAATCTCGTGATATCAACGAAATATTAAGGTCCTTTTCGTCCTTTCAGGCATTTCGTGCTACCGCCTACAGAAAAAAAACCCTAATTCCATCTTCCCAGTATTTAATCCCATTCGGTTCATCTCTCTCTCGCTCTCCCTCTCTCTTCTCGTGTGTGCGACTTTTTTTCATTTCTAGTCTTCTTTGTTACCGAAAAGTTTGCCTCTTGAATATGATTAGTTTGGATTCAGGCTTTCATTTCAGTCCAAGTTTTGAATAAAAGAGGCATATATTTGTTTTGCAGGAATGTTGAGTCACTTCGCCTTCGTACTTCCTCAGGCGCAGTGAATAATTATCCTGCAATATTCGTTTTTCAATTTCCCATTCAAAATTTGTTTTTTTCTTTTCTTTTTTGGTTCGTTGAAGGTGGGGATTAATTTGTTTGTGGATTTATAATGGAATGAAGGGGTCCTATGATGGCATGAAATCTTTGAGACCTGATTCTCTGATTTGATGAAAACTATAAGCATTATCTCTGAGGATCCCTTTTAATTCAGTAAATTAGTATTGTTTTTGTTATAATTTTATTTGGTGATTATTAGTTGATTAGCGAAAGTGAAAAAGTTGGGGCTTTTTTCTTTTTATTTTGGAGATTGCAATGAAGATGATGAACATGCACTGGGCTCTGAGCAGTATTATGTACTGCTTAATTTGATGCACATTGCAGCCTAGAAAGCTTTGTCTGATTTCTGCATTACCCACTTGTCAATTTTTGTAACTTTGGTTGTATAACAAATAATAAAAAAAAGGTTTCTCTGGACATTTTATCGTAATGTTATTTTGATTGTGGGTGTAGATATTATTTTGTGGGTGTAATTCTATCCATAGAATTTCAATAAAGACAAGAAATTCCCATTCTTATAGATGAAGTAGATAACAAAATGTGAATTAAGCAAAGAAAGTATAATTTTATGTAAAAATATTTTATTGTAATAAAAAAATTAAGTGATTATTTTTGAAGATTTTTTATTGCAACAAAATTTGAATTTTAAATTTGAATATGAATGGGGTTTAATTGTATGTGAATGTGAATCAAGGCCAATTTTAAGTATGATTAAGATGAAAGTTTTGAAGAAGAACCCGGAGTTATAGTCACAAATTTCTAATTATATATGAAGTATAAATTCTTACCCCAAAGAAGCATAAAAGTAAAAAAGAAATTTTGTTAACTTATTCATGAGAAAAAAAAACGCTCGAATGGACCCAGTGCTAGGTTGTGGTTCGTAATTTAATATCCAAATCGAAGGACATACAAACATAGAAGAGAATTTTCAACCAATAAGACCAACAACAAAAAAAAGAAGAAAAAAAGTCCCGAGTTTCTATTTAATTTCCCCTAAAAGGGTAATACTAATTTATTTCCATGGAAGAGAAATAGCAGCAACATAGCTAATAAAATATTGTTAACAAGAAATTTATTATTATGAACAGTAACTGTCCATCTCAGTTAAGTCAGTTAAAGTTGTAAGTCAGTGAAAGTTATTACTCATGTTAGACTTTTATTATGAAAGTTATTTTTTTAAAATTTTACATTTTCTTAATTTTCATAACATTTATATATGATCATCCAAAGTTCAAACACCTCATTTTTTGCACTTTTATGGTTGAACCAATAGAGAGCCAACCTAGGCTTAAGCAGCCAAAAATGAAGAAAACCCACGCGTATTATTACTCGCGATTCCAACATGAGAGCTCGTATAAATGAAATTTGAAAATTCTACTCATTGGTCTTTCAAGTAGAATTTGTATATGGACCAACAAAAGAAAAAGACTGCTCAAAATTGTTTGAATATGTAGTACTCGTGTTCTATTTAGAAAATATATGACAATTCATATAGCGACATAACGACATGATTCGAAATCCATACAAAATTATCGAGTTTAAATTTATTATAAATGGATTTAAGTAATAATCGCATTGACACGATTAACATGATTAATAAATGAGTTGAATTAGAGTTGACCTCCTAACACGAAGTGACACGAATTGACACGATTAACTATATGTGTCATATATAATTTAATAGTATGTAATATAACATAAAAGTTTACGTGAAATATTAAATACAAATAATGTGATTTTAATAATTATAAGTAAAATTCATTTATTTTTCTTTAAAAAAAGATAAATTGACCAATAAACATATTAAACATGTCTTAACTGTGTTAAATAAATCATTATTATATTAATTATTTATTTAATTTATTAATTTAAACGGCTTATACATGTTGACATGATTAACACGATTAATAAATAAATCAGGTTTGAGTTAATATTTTTGACACGTTTAATAAACATGTCGTGTTTGAATTGATATTTTCTGACACGATTAATAAACATGTTGACACGAATACGACCCACTGACACGAATTGCCACCCTTACTAAATTCTATTATGTTGACGTAGTTTTCCTTCTACATTCTTCTACAAAGAGAGGCATGTAACCCTCAAAACAATTAATTTTTTTTATGTCAGCGCACAGGAGATGAAAAGAAAATGACAACAAAATACACTACGAATCCGGCTATAAGAATCCCTCCATAGATGTAAGCTTGAGAAGACTGCACTGGGTATTTGTACTCGATTTCGCAACACCTCATGTTTTCCCTTTCGTTAAACAATACATGTTCTACATACCTGCATTTTTCCACAATATTTCAAGAATTATTACCACAGAAAAGACGACGAAACACAGGAGAGAGATTACAACAAGGAGCTGCATTGAAATGTTACGCAGAACTTAGAAGTCTTGCGACTTACTGCTGCGTAAATAAGGAGCTTTGGAAGATTTCTGAGCTGTTCAAATGTGCATCTTGTAAGCGATGGTCGTACAACAGTGAAGACAAATCTACTAGCTGTTCCTCAAGATTCTGTTACGCAAGAAGTTGTATGATATAGCCTTCAAGAGTGTCGATAGTGTAACACAATATATACTGCAATTAGGAATAACTTACGTCCAAGTATTTCTCCAATCGTTCAACTAATTCATGCGGAAAAGGTTCCGGCAAGTGAGTGGTCTTTTTGTAAAACTTCTCCAACCACAGCTTGGCTGTTGTTTTGTTTTTGTTTCCCTTCACCGGTTCACCAAGCGGGGTTTTCAGATACTCTGCTGCGAAGTTTTGTACAGTCTGCAACGATATGCAGGACACCATGAGCATGGGTAACAAAACATACAAATAGTAAATCGCAAAAGGAAAGACATTCACCTCTGATGTATCACGAATTCTGCGAAGTGCGGAATCCACACGCGCATATATAGTGTTCCTCTATCAACCAAAATAGAAGTGATGTCAGCTAACATGATCCAACAGAATATTGTGCACTAAATTTTATATAGGAAGTAATGTTGTAATAATGTCAAGTTCAAAATTTTAAAGGTCATGCAGAAATTTCGCATTGGGAGATGGCTTACCAATGCAACATCTTGAAGCATTTGACTAACTTGAGTAGTGTTAGAAAATGGTCCAAATGGATGACAACCAGCTGCCCAGAGCCAATTCACAACTGGCCTTTCATGCACATGAGAAGCCTTCTCATACGGTGCGCTCAATCCTCCCACAGCGGAAGCTAGTCCAGCTAATATATGGCGCTGAGCCTGTGATGGAAAGGCATACCTTCTCTCTGTTTCTGAAACATAGCTGTGAGAAAAAGACATGCACAAGACATTAAAGAAAGGACTTTGATGCAGCAGACAGTACCCTTTTTGTTCTTTTGAAAAAAAAAAAAAAAGCATTGGGGACCCAAGATCAAAAGGTGTAATGATAATAGAAGTAAAAAAATGCTAGAAGAAATTAAAAAGTGACAGTGAAGTACAAGAAAGTAGTGCCGTGTATTTGAACTCTACTATAAACTTCAGCAGCATCATAACGTGTAAACTCAAATGATAACTTCACAGAAGATTGATGTTTCAATTTCAGTCAATTTCTTTGAACTCTACTTAGAAATCAGTGTATGAAGAGGGCGAACAATAAGAACACGGCTTATGATGACTGCCATTGCCAAAATGAAGGGTGCCAAGAAGAAAAGGGGTAAATGGATATGGCCGAGCAAGGTGAATCCACGGTGCACCGTAACCAATCTTAAGAAGGGTGCACCAATACCAAAAAGTAAGAACTTTTATTTTGATCCTTCTCCCATCCATCTAGCCCAAGAGATCTTGCAACTTGGGAACTCAAAAACAAATGACCTCTCAATGAATTGATCACAATGAAAATGAGTTACAAGCCGGAATATATGAAGTAAATCAGCATCCCTCACCTTAAAGGTATTTTTTCATTTTGATGCTCAAGTACAATGACAACATCCTTGCTAGTCCATACAAGACTTTCATCTTCCATCATAAGCTGCGGATCAACATCAGCCAGTGATAGCACAAAGCTGCCAAAAGACAAACACAATAATATTTTCATTATTCTAGACTTCCTCATGCAGATTTTTCACATAAAATTTGCAAGGATTCTTTCTGGTAATCCCTGGAAGAATTGTAATGCACTCTATATTCTGTGGTAAACAGGGAAAAAATTGTTTCTATCATGCGATATAGAGATTTGCTTCATCCTTTCAAGAACTTTTGACGCACTTTAAAAAAGTTCACCGACATGTCAGTACATTTACAAGTAAAAAAGACACTTAAATTGCACGCTCCAATGAAGGACCAGTGGGATACTACTCACACAGGAATTACTCTGGTTCCATAGGTCCGATATAAACTTCCCTCTTTCTTTACTGTTTTCTTTTTCTTCTTGCCAAGTTTTGAGTCATATGTAGCCCAAAGAGGCTTATGCTTTAAAATGGAATCACTACTACCGTCAGTATCATCCATCCAATCCTGGGAACATGAAAAACATATTAGGGCAATAAAGACAAGAAGAGAAATAAATGCTTTACAAAATAACTCCAAAATGTTTCAAAAGCTCAGAAATGACATTAAAGAGAGAATATTATTTCCTGCCTGGCTTCCTGACATTTTATGGGATGCTGTAGTGGTCTATGACAATATGATCTCTGTAATTACCTGGCGGAGAAAAAATTTATTTGAAAGGGAAGGGTCAGCCATCTCAAGCAAACCAGCAGCAAGTAAATCGGTGGAACGTTCCATTTCCTACAATTCACATTTCAGAGGAAATAAATACAAAATAACACGTATAAAAAATTCAGTCGTGAATGCAAATCTGCTTGAGAATGTCAATATTTTAAACCTGTGTACTCAGTGTGATCATGAAATACCAATTTATTAGAATTCATCCGTTAACTAAACTGAGATATACTGAGAGAAATAAAATATTGTCGCTGTGACAGTTCTACCCAATAAAGATGTTCAAAGGTTGCCGAAGTGAACACAAATAGATGATAAACAAGAATTGTTTCACCAATTAGTAAAAAATTCTAGAGAAACTAGTTAGTAATTTAATGCAAAATGATGGTAGATATTTTTCTTTTCTTTTCTTAAGAGGAAACTTGAGTCGGAAAGAAAGTACCCACTTCCTTAAGAAGAGCACCGTCTAGATATGTCTTGGTATGGACATGGAAACGACCATCCTTCTTGGTTTCTTGGAGGGAATGGCCTCGCATGGCTGTTGCAACAGCAATAGCCAGCTTCTCATGGCGATGTAACAAATGTGAACCCCCAATAAGAACTACTTCTTCACCATCATGAACCATCTTCTTTACCTGAATGGGATAGATCAATATCATATTAAGGAATTGTTTCCATTATTCAGTACATTCTGCATTGATTCATAGTATGCAAAGGACAGAGAATTCAGTTTTCTCCAAACGTATCTCACCTCTGTCTCAATTGCTTCCAGATTTATACTATAGTTGTGGCCCTTATCCATAAGGTTGTATCTATTATGATTTTGAAGGACAATTATTGGTATAAGCAGCCTTGTTGCAAGATCAACAGTTTCAAATCTGAGTTCCAGGGATAAAGACAAGATAAGAACCAACTAGTAAATCATTGTTAAGGTTTTCAATCAAATGCACGCTCGGAATCAAACTATGGCCTGATTTCAACAGTAACTTTTATGTTTTAATGAGGCAAAAGAGGTCTTCTCTTTTTTTTTTTTTTTTTTTTTTTTTCCAACCATGAAATAGACCAGCAAATACCTAGCATCCGGAGCAATAACATGCTCCACCGTTGTGGATATCAAAGAGGCAAGTTGACCAGTGAAGGTATCATGAGTAATATGATCGGTAATCATAGCTAGACCAGTTGAAACCATCACATTCTGTAAACGTGGGAGTGTCCTAGGACTCACACTACCCTCTAATTTTTTTTTTTTTAAAGGGGCAAAAGGGTTTTTTTTTTTTTTTTTTTTTTTTTTTTTTTTTTTCCAACCATGAAATAGACCAGCAAATACCTAGCATCCGGAGCAATAACATGCTCCACCGTTGTGGATATCAAAGAGGCAAGTTGACCAGTGAAGGTATCATGAGTAATATGATCGGTAATCATAGCTAGACCAGTTGAAACCATCACATTCTGTAAACGTGGGAGTGTCCTAGGACTCACACTACCCTCTTCAGTTTCAATCTTTCCATACGTGCACGGGCCTGCTGAGAGATCAATCACAACAAATCTAAACAATGTGGACACCAAGTTAGGTCCAACACACAAAGACCAAAAGCAAGATTTTATCCAACAGATTAAAAACTATGAAGCGTGAGTCAAATATATATTTTTATGAACAATACCTGCCAGAGCCTAGCCATACTTGAGTTGCTCCACCTCCATTATATCGGTAGCGATAGATATAGCCTCCTTCTTGTCCTTTCTTGTCTTCCTCGGTTAGCTGGGAAACTTTTCCGTACATGAAGTCGTCGAGATCAGTGTCATTTTTCCTAGGATCCATCCTTACCTGAAGAAGATGGAGACAGCGAAGGGGTCAGCCATAATATTTCCTTTTTCTTTTCTTCACAAAGCCATAAAATCCAGATGATACCTTATCGAAATTGACAATAAATATTGCATTAGGCACGGGTCTGTCCATCTCTTCTGCTGACGAGGCCATACTATCCATGTCAAATATGTAGGAATATAACCTCTGAAATACTGGCTCTACAGCTGTTGCCTCAACTTCAAACAAAGGCACCTCTCTTCCAAAACCAGCCTAAACAATTTACACATAGTTTCAAACATATTTAAAACAACAATACCAGCGACTTCCTCAAATATAACCAAACAGAAACTGCCATAGTGAAACGAATATTCCAATTACCTCTCTTGCTGTCCCTGTCGAAACCATATTATCTTTCAGTGCCTTCTCTAGAGCTATCAGCTCTGGCTGCCCAGCCTGTAGTATTGACAACCAATAGTGCCAAACAATAAGTTTAACAAGAAAACTAAGCATAAACACATATAATGCTTGTTAGGGGAAAAAACAAAGTCAAACAAGAAAATTAAGCATTGAACATATATAATACTTGGTTGATTCTGTTAAGCTTACAGGAAATGCGTTAAAGACGATATGATGCTCGATATCAAGAAGCTCGCCTGTCTCGAAACAAGAGGGCCTGTGTGATGGAAAGCTGACTCTCAAGAACTCTTCCAATTTGTGCGCATCTAAAGAGTATCTATAACCACCGTCGTCATTGAAACCGATGAGAACTACATTTACTTCAAGCGGAACTTGGAATGGTACCTGCGTAGACATTGAATTTGTATACGCATTATGGAATTGAATCCTACCACCTCTATACGAACATTGATCCATTAAAATTGTCAACTTGTATATAATTTATTATAATGATTTGCTATAATAGTAAAATCTCTCTTGCGCCAAAAACCGAAAGTTCAATACTTCCCTAATTTTTTCTGTATTTCCTTACTCTTTTTCCATCGGGTTTCCCGGGGCCTTGGCATTGAATCTTATCACCTGTAATATGATATTGATGGTAGCTAGAATGTCTCCGACACAAAAATAAGATGTCCAAAACCAAAAATTCCTATCTTGTTCTGTGATTCCCCATTCTTTTCTTTCTGGTTTCTCGTTAGCCAAACGGGCTCGACTAATATCCTATCACCTCTATTAGAACACTGACGAGTATCCATAAATATTGAACAATCAAAATTCTCAATCTGCATCAATTCATCATAATTACTATTAGCTAGCATACCTCGACACTAAGACCTAAAGTCCAAAGCTTCAAATTCATATCTTGTTCTGTGTTTTCTTAATCATATTCTTTGGTTTCTCGGTAGCCAAACGGAAGCTAAATTCGAACAGAAAACCGAAAAAGGATTAATTTTATTTCTTACCTCAGCTCGAGAATGCAACATTCGACGGACATCGGATCGAATGCTGTCTCGGACGTCGTGGAAGGCGCTGTGGTGCCACTGCGGGTGTCCCGGATCTCTCCTGAACGCCTGAGGCGATTTCGATTCCGATACGAACGCAAGCAAGCTCAGCGCCAGAACCAAGCCGCACATCGCCGCCGGAAACGACGACGACCTTAACTTCAATTTCGCCGCCATGGCTGAAGTAGCTTTAGAGCTCTGTGGATTGGATTGGCTCGGAAAAGGCGATTTTCAGGCCAAGACTACGATTGTATGTTATCAAAAAGCAAGTTTGGAAGAAATGGCCTCTGGAATTTTCATGGCGAGATTGACATTTGAGAAACCAGTCAGAATTGATCGGAGCTAATTTTCACTGTCAGTCATCGACTGAGGAAATGCTAAAATCCAGCTTTCTCAAATTAACCCCGGAACTTACAAATAAACGCTGGATTTGCCTTTCATTGGACATTTTCCAGCCCATTGGGCTTGAGCAAGGAAGTCGTTCGGGCCCAGCCCAATAGGCAAATGCAATTGAACCGAAATGGCGTCGTTGCCGTATCGCGAAAAAGGAAAAACCCTTTCAGCTTCTTCAGGGTTTGAATCGGAATCTCCAAAAACTCGAAGGAAGCAGAAGTGAGCCTCCCATGGCGTCCTCGAGAGTTCTGTCTAGATTATCGTCCCGATTAAAGCCCTTCGCTTGCAATTCCAACAAGAGATCTTTAGCTTCCGAGTTCTCTTCACTCAAATCAGCTTCTTTCTCTGAGGCTTCTCTTCTTACTGGTCGGTTTCGTCGCACTTCAAGGTTAAATTTTTCCGCTTTCTCATTTCCTGCTCTTTATCTGTTCTTCATTTTCTGCGAAACTGAAAAAATTCATCAACTTTCGAAGATTGTATTCTACCGAATTGGAAAAGAGTTTCTTTTCATTTTGTTGCACTGGAGTGGAAAAAAAAATCTCTTTTCTTTGTGTTTATTATATGATAAATTGACTTGTAGTGTTTTTATTTTTTTATTATTTTTTTTAACCATTCGGTGTGGTGAAATTAACAAATTGTGTATCTGACCACATTGGACTTATAAAGATTGTATCTTTATTTGTCTGTATTTCAGCGAGTACCCAAATTGGAAAATTTATCCTTTACGAATCAAACTAATAAACTGTGTGTGTATTATGTGGTGTGTGTTTGATGTGTGGTTTTATTTGTGTTTATTGATACGATTAACTTCATTTTTAATTTTTTTATATGATTAACTTTAATAATTGTACTTGTTTGTTGTTGGGTTTATTGGATGAAAATGGTCAGATTACCATTGCAATTGAGCAGTGTTGAGTCGATGATGCCGTTACACAGCGCAGTGGCTTCAGCAAGATTAATATCGAGCTTGTCCATTGAATCTCAGCACTGGGGATTGGTTCCTCAAGGTTTGTTCCTTTTGTTTTTATGCCTCTTTTTTTTTTTTTTTTTTAACTAGCAACTTGTTTGTTGATTTCTTAGCTGAATGATGATGAGCGTATGCTTGAGCTAACCTTTTGTCTAATATAAGCTAACTAATAAAACACGTTTAGTTTTTAAGTCTAAAGTCCCGTTGGTTTCGCTGATTCTAATTTAGAACTTGAGTTATGATTTGAACTAATGAAACGAACTAAATGTTGGGATTTTTGGATATTCATGGTGAGAGTTGGCTGACAATTATTTCTTTAGTTGTTTTTGTAATGAGCTTGTAGTTAAAGTTGATGGTGCTTTGTTGTTTTAAAATCCTTGGGGTTTCATAAGCATATTTTATTGAGGAAACAATGCAAAAGATTTAGGAAAATCATGAAACAGGGAGACGAGAGGACAAACTAGAACAGAAGTGACCTTATTGATTAGTTTTAAGTTTTTAGTCATTAGTTAAAATAATAATAGAGACAAAAAAGAAAAGTTCTAGACAATAGAAGGGGGAGAGTATTGGATAAAAAAGTTGAGCTTCTGAATTATTGGAAAACTGTAGGTGGTGGAACTTGAGGAGCAAAATGATATGTAAATTTATTCTCCTAAAGGCGCTTGAATGTTTTGTCACAAATCCCATTATTTGCTTCTTTTATGGCCAAAATGGAAGAGGACTACAATTTGTTCTCCTCACACACACACTCACACAACTTCTTCTTAAGTTGATTTTATCTCTCTCAATCAAATCATTGAGTTTCATGTTGAATTAAGTTGTTGTAATGCATTTATTTTGATTATATTTCAGGAATTTCAATGCCTTTATGACAGTCTTCCTATGCCTAGAGTTGTCTCTATTTGATGGCTTTGTAGTGTTAACATAGACATTTTGTTTTAAAGTGCCTTCGGAGTTTGGAGGCTAGAGAATTAAATGGTTTTATCAGGAATCTGTATCTGTTTTCTTCATTTCCTTTCCTCAAATTCTCTTTTTAGAGATGCTAAGAAAAGTTTTGCGTAATCCAAAACAAAATACACATTATCATTGATAAAAGTGCCCAACAATAATGCACCTTTTAGCTTCAGTTTCTTTCCATTGGCTCGATACTTTAAGCACTTTTAGGCCTCGATCACTTCGCAGATTCGAGTTTTCAATTCAAGTTGAGATGTGACATTTTCTAAGAGCTTTTTACTGTAGCAGAAAAAGTTAGATGTGACATTTTTTGAGAGTTTTTTACTGTAGAAACCTAAAACTGAAAACTCGAATTGGTGAAATAAACGAGGCCTTAGATACTTGTTTTTGACATTTCTACCTGTCAAACTGTGAACGCAGAGAAACTGTGAACGCAGAGAGTGATAAAAAGAGTGATACTAATATTTTTCTTCTATTTAGTTAACAATTTTCCATATTCTCCAATGTCGTAGAATTCCGCTTGGTCATTACTGATTAGGAGTTCTTCCTAAGACAAAAGGGTATTATGAATTATAAATCTGCCTCTAGGAGGCAAGCTAGTTACTAATTTTCTCCATAAACAACAGAGTGAATCCCCTTAAAATATCTTTTTGATACCCTAAAGTTGATTTGTGAAATATGTAATGTCTAAAATACCCTTATTAATTAAATAGAAATTAATATATTTTTTTAAAATATTTAAAATATTTTAAAACATTAAAACATTTAAAAGAAAATAAAAAATAAAAAAAGTTTATGATTTTTTTTCTTGATTTATTAGTTTTTGGTTAACTAAATAGAAGTGTACTAAGGTTATTTTACGTCTAAAAATTAGTTTTAAGGTACTAAGAAGTGTACTAAGTTCATGATTTTTGTAAATGTCGAGGTATTATTTTAATATTATCAAAAATATGAGATCAAGCACATGTTTTGCTATAATTCAGATATCAAAATAATTTTACCCTCTACTAATGTTCTTGGTAGATTACTATCACATAACAACTATAGTGAACGAAAAGCAAAAATAAATCCCATAATTCTTCTACCATCCCAAAATTACCCTTAACCCCATAAAAGGGACTGAATTCTCAGAACCACGAATTTCTCAACGACTTCTATTCCATCAGACGAGCACATACCAATTGTGATTTTTTCACACTTAAAAGAAAATGATTTAGGACTCGTTTAGTTCGCTGATGTTAATTTTTAATTCGAGTTGAGATGTGACTGTTTTTTAAAATTTTTTTACTGTAGTAAAAAAGTGAGATGTGATTGTTTTTAAGAGTTTTTTATTATAATAAAATTTAAATTTTAAACTTAAATCGGTAAAATAAATAGGGTCTTAATCCATACTAAAACTGAGACAATTAGATCTCATGTGAACTTTTCATTACAAAGTAGATTACGGGCAATAATTTTAATCTTTAACATATATAAAAGACCCAAAGAAGAGGCCCGTCGTTTCGTCCCCATGTGGTACGAAACCTTTTTTTTTTATTAGGGAGAGGAGACGAAACTTTTCGTCATTTTTTTTGGTCGCGCTCTCTCACCCGCTCCCTCTCTCTCTCTCTCTCCTTTTCTCAAAAAAAATTTTCGTTTTTTTTATTTTTATTTATTTTTATTTTTATTTATTTTTATTTTTTTATTCTCGCTATCCCTCCCCATAGTTCTTTTTTTTATTTTAGTGCAGTGCAGTAGTGCACTATTATTATTTTTTTATTGTCTTTTTTCTTCTTCTATAGTTTCTTTACTTTTCTTCTTTCATTTTTAAAGTTTTTCTATTTTTCTCTATTAGTCACTCATTTTTTGTTTTTTCTCTTACTCTTATATAATCATTATTTTTTCACACTATATATATATATATTTTTATTTTTTTATTACTTCAAATGTGACGCTCATAAATATTTTTCTCTAATTATTTTGGTGAAATAATTTTTTGTGACTTTTATTTAATTTTTTGTGACTTTTATTTTTATTTTCTCTCCATCTTTTTCTAGCTTATATCATTTTTTTCCTTCTTTCTTCAAATGTGATTCTCATAAATATTTATTTTCTTAATTGTCCTCTTAAAGTAATTTTTTTCCTCATATATGTTTTTTTTTTCATGAAACCAACTCAAATTTATTACTACATTCCTAATAAATATCTTCAATATATATATATATATATATATAACAATCCTTTTTAAAGGAAAATAATCCATTTTTCTACGGCTCTCCTCTTTTTTTTCCCCGACCTTTTTGTCTTTTATTTTAATTTTTTGTCTTCGCTTCTTTTCTGTTTACATCTTTTGGTTTTCATCTTTTTTCTCCTCACTTTTATACTACTTTTTTTTTTGTTGCTTTCAACTCTCTAATATCTCCACTTTGTTAATTGTTTTTACTGTTTATAATTTGACTTTGCTCATGAGATTATATTTGTTGATTTCCCTCTTTTTACTGGCTTTCTGCATTGTAGACCAATTATAAATTGGAAAAAGTTTCATAACATTAATACGAATTATGAAACCATAAGTCATATAACATCAGTGGTTAAACTATGTGCCATAACAATTGATTATTCCAAAAAAAAAAAAAAAAAAAAAAAAAAACTATGTACCTTAACGATGACTTAAAAAAAAAAAAAAAAAAAAAAAAAGAATCCAAACTTTCCACGTCAGAAACCCCATAAGCCTTGTTCTAAATTCCCTAAACTACCCCCAACAAAAAGACTGAAATCTCAAATAAACCCCCACCACCAGTATCAATCAAACCATGTTATTACTGGAATCTCCTTCTCCTTCGCCTTCTTCTTCAACCTCAACACCTTCTTCATCTTCTCAACAAACCTCTTCACAATCCCATTAACATTATCATTCTTATTATTGCTCTTCTCTCTTTCAGACGTCGTCGTTTCGTCCTCCAAAACCAAAAACTCTCCAAACCCCTCCACCGGAATCCCCCTCTCTACAAACGCCTTCCACATCAGCTTATACACCATCTTCAACTCCTCCCGAAACTTCCTCGCCACGTCAGCATCCTTTTTCTTCTTCTTCGTCTTCTTCTCCAACGACGCCGTTTCGTCCCAATTACAACACCCCTCACGATACTCCCCGACCGTCACGCGCTCCTCCGCGTACGCCCTACACGCGCCGAGCACCGTCGCCGCCCGTTCCCGGCGGAAGTGCTCCACCACGAGCTCCTCGAAATCCCTCGGCGGATTCCGCAGCGTGTGCGCCGTCGTCTTGCACGTCAGGAGAAACGCGTTCTCGTTGTATGCCCTAGATTGCTTCTCCCAATTCCCGATTATCCCCGCCCCGGGCTCGTTGAAATAGGGCTTCGAATTCAGCACCAGAGCCTGGATTGAGACCAGAACTTGCAGAATCGTCGACTCCTTAGGGTTCCACATCTCGGACTTCTTCCCGGTCCAGGTGTTGAGCAGACTGAGGCAGACCTTGCCGCAGGCGTAGAGGTTGGGGTTGATGCGGTGGCCGTGGGAGTGGTAGTGGAGGACGGGAGGGCGGTTGGGGTAGTCGGCGGGGAAGGAGAGGTCGAAGAAGAAGAGGGCGTCGTGGTAGGGAGTGCCGGCGGCGCCGATTATGGCGGCGCGGAGGAGGTCAATTTGTCGCTCGTGGACGCGGACGAAGATGGTGTCCGGGAGGTGTTTTTCCAGGATCCGCCATTCGTGCATGATCTTCTTGTGGAGGTCGGCGCTGGGACGGGTGGGGCCCTCGTAGAAGTGGTTGTCGATGACGCCGTTCGAAACGACGTCGAATCGCTTGAACTCGTAGGCGGAGGAGGAGGCCATTGTTGGTTGATGACGACGTTCTTTGGTTTGAGACTTGGGTTTTGTAGTGCTTTTTTGTAGTACTAGTAGTGATTGGTATAGAGAGATGACGAAGATTTTCTGTTTTAAGGGGTTTTTTTTTTTTTTTTTTTTTTTTGGGTGAATAATTGGGTATTGTTTTTGGTAAACGTGGAGGTTGATGGATAAATATTATAATTTGATGGAATTTTTGTTTTTTTGTTTTTTTGAGGGGTTGTTGGAGAATATCAAGCAGCTTTGGAATTTTTTTTTTTTTTTTTTTTGTCATTGATATTCATGAATAAAGATTTTTATTCATGTAATTATCTCTACATTCGTTTTTTTTTTTTTTTTTATATTCATGGTATTATTATTATTATTAGTATAATCAATTCTATTATTATAATATTTTTGTGTTTGGAATCTATATTTTTTTTAAAAAAAACTTTTTCAGTTGTCGTTTCTCGTTTAGATTTCAACGTGTTTATTAGGGTTGTGGTCCTTTTGAAAGAGTCCCACATTATTTAAAGAAGTAATTACATAAAATATCTATTATTAAAGTCTTAATTTTAAAAATTCAATTATTACACAATATTATAAAAATATCGATTAAGGCACATATGTTGCTGTGTACCTTTATAAGTTATTTGAAGTATGTTCCATATATAGTTAATTTTTGTTTTATGTAATCTGTTTGTTTTTTCTCATAGTATTCCACATATTTACTTTCATTTTTAGTCCTAATTAATTGTTTATAATCAAGTTTTGATTTATTTTTACAAGGCTGATTTCCCTCTCTTTTTTTTTTGTTTTTTGTTTTTTTGAATTCAACCGTGTGTTTTCAATTTCTTTAGCCGGGTTTAGTTGACTTTTATTGTTTTTGTTCATCGTTTTTTCTCTCTTCATCGTGGAAGGTATTAAGCCCAACATTTCTTCCTCTTCGTGCTTGGTATTTTGGGTTCTAATTTGATATGTTGGCATGACTTTTGCTATTCTACTCTAGCAGTCTAGCATGACTTTTTGTTTGGTAATCCACCGTTCATTCTTTTTGTTTCCTTTTTGGTTTTTTTTTTTTTTTTTTTTTAGTTATGTTGTTTGCGGCTAGTTTGTTTCGAATTTTTTTGTATATTTTATCTTCAAAATGATGTTATCATTATGATAATGAAATAACATTTTTATGAATTTATGTATTCTTGCATGTTCATTGTTTGAGACTGTTAAATAAGTACCTTAAATTAATTTTAGAAAAGTTATTATTTTGTGTTTTTGAAAATTTTATTGTTTTTTATTTTTTGAGAAATAGTTATTTTATGGCTCATTTGGATTCTATAAATAAATGCCTTGTGTAGGCTTTATGTGGTTAGAAAAGAGTGCAGAGAATGAAAAAAGAGAAAAGTGAGAAGAGAGATAAGCAACGGTGTAAGGGGTTTTGAATAGAGAGAGAAAGTAAGAAAGTTTGTTGAATGCGTGATTCTGAAACTATTAATGAATTTTTTTCTCCCTCTTCTGTGGACGTAAAAATTTTTTCGAAACCACGTAAATATTTATTTTCTCCATTTTTAATTATTTTTGTTTCTATTTATTTTTTCTTACTGTGTGGGTAGAGGTGTCAAAAGGGCCGTGTCGAGCTGGCTCGGCCCTTTCGACCCTTAGCCCATGACGGGCCTGGCACGACCCTCTACAGTAAAGGGCCAGGCTTGGGCTAGGCCTAAGGAGAGAACCTCAAGCCCAGCCCTAGCCCAGGCCCTTGTCCTTTAGGGCCAGGGCCGGGCCCTATTGAGCCGGCCTTACTAAAGGCCCAGTAGGACCTTAAACGGTCGGCCCTTTAGGGCTTGCTGGGCCGGGCTATTTTAAAATTTAACTTTTTTTATTTTTTTAATAATTTTAGATTTGATGACAAAAAAAGAAGTAATATCATATGTTTCAAAAAGATGTAAAAAACAAACAAAATGTTAATTGGGTTCGGAAAGGAAAATCAACACGTAATATATTATCAAATAAAATTAGCTCATAAAATACAAAAACTCACCATACATGGGACATACCCAAAATAAACTGTAAAGGCATACCCGATATTATACATGTCTTATTAAACACAAATAGATATTTTTATAATATTATATAATACATGTCTTATTAAACACAAGTAGATATTTGTATAATATTATATAATAGTAGACATTTTTAGATTCAAGGCTTTCATAGTTGACATTTTATATAATTACTTCTTTTTTTTTCTAATGTTTTTTAAAAAAATACAAAGCTTCATGGGCTTGGGCCCTTCATGGACCTGGGCCGTGCCTGGGCCACGAGCTTCATAGATGAGGCCTAGCTCTGGCCCTTATGTAGAGCCGGGCCGGTCTGGCTCGCAACAGTACAGGCTCAGGTTGTGCCGAATCTTGCATGGACGGCTCGGCCCAATTGACACCTCTATGCGTGGATGTAGATGTACGTTTTTCCCTAAAACAAATTTGTTTAATTGGCTCTTGTTAGCTTGTCATGACAAAAAACTATGGAATAGCTCATGAAGTAGTGAAATCGTCCATTTCACTACTCGAAGCACATTTTCACACCTTCACTTAGGCACTTGATCATAGTAATCTATGTACCAAAATGTTTAATCACTTAACAGTAATGATCCATACAATGATTAACTAAATGTTGGTTACTTTTTTAAATAGTTAGTCATTTTGTAACCATAATTAATTAAGCCACTATAAATTTACTCACTTTAGTAACTAACTGGTATCACCGAAACCTATCACAATTATTATAACCACTACACCACTAGAATCATAAGAATAAGCACATTTGTTAAAAACATCAAAATGATAAGTGTCTTAGGTATTACATTTATCACTCTCTCATTCAAGACAAAGTTGTAGAGGAAATCCTCTAAGCTTTGCTCTTTGCACTTCCACAATCAGAAGGAAAAGAGCTATTTCCCCACCACATCTTTCCATTCAGACTCTCTCAAGAACTTTCTTTTGGTATTATCCTGAAAAAGATAGAAGGCTATGTTAAAGGTTAATGATGTCTCTACTGGTGATCTATTGGACTATGAGCTCTAGTTGGGTTCTGAGCTTAGAACTTTACAGTACGTGTTAGTCCCCATCCTCTTTTATCATATTTTGTGCGTTCGAAACGAGTTGATCCTCAAGGGAGATCCGTTTGACATCATTAAAGCGGCTCTTGTATTTTTGCTGACTTTGCGGCCTTCCTCTTTTGGGTGGTTGAAGATCTACTGTGATCATGTGGCTTTTCATGTTGATATGTTCGATGGTGGCGGCTGTTGCGACCATAATTGTTTGGGCTAATTAGGATGTTGTGCCTTTGTGTGCATCTTGCTTTATTTAGCCTTGTTTCCTGCTTTTCGGCTTGTGTTTCCATTCAATGAAGTGTCCTTTCATTAAAAAAAAAAAATGATTAGTCAGTCACATACACAAAGATCAGTTGTGAAGGAGACTAGGTTACAATTTATAGTATAGGAACTAGTTTTCTTCAGCTTTCTTAAAATATGCTAAACTATCACTCTTTTCTAATGGTTTCTTTTTCAAACATTTCTCTATCTTCTGCATTTATATGGTGTAAAACTAGGGTCCGTTCAGTTCGTTGATTCGAGTTTTTAATTCGAGTTGAGATGTGATTTTATGTGAGAGTTTTTTATTATAGCAAAAAAGTTAGATGTGATTGTTTCTGAGAGCTTTTTACTGTAGTAAAACTCGAATTCTAAACTCGAATCGGCGAAATGAACGAGAATAGTTTATAAGTTCAAGCCATAGTTGAGGATAAGTACCATTTATATATGGTGCATCTGTAAACCAAGTTTTGCCTATTTTATGAGATTCCAACAGAAGAATATGAAATGAAAAGAGATATAGGAAATAAAGGCAATTAATAGCTCTAATTTTTTAGCCTGTAAAGAACTTGACCATCAAAGGCAGATAACAATAGCAAAAAAGAAAAGTAGGAACCTTTCCCAATGAAAGAGCATGACCCAGGTTCCTTTGGCACTGTTTGAATGACAAATTACTTCGGATATTGTTGAACTACTTGTAACCCAAATTCAGATGTTGTTGAATCCTGCCTATCTGTCATGCCTACCGTTATGGCTCATCTATATAATATAAACCATACTTATGAGATATTGCAAAACAATTTGACGAGGATACATACATATAGAAAATTGGTTGAGACCAAGAAAGACTACTGATATGGATCTTTAATATCTATTTTCGTCTTCCTGACTGCAAATTTACTGATTATGCATTCATAAACATTAGGAAGCAGTCATTCCTGCGACTCAAGAAAAAGAAGGATTTCCTTTGGCACAATTAAAAGATTAGCACTGCCTCGACCAAAAATACTTTGTTCAGAGAAGACTTAAGTGGCAGAGAAAACTAAAGTTTGTTTGTGTTTTCTTTCTTTCTTTCTTCCCTTCTTTTTTTTTCCCCCTTTATTTTGGCTCAAAAAGAAAACTTATATAAGTTCCCCAACATTCCTTTGGAGGAATGACTTCTACTCCAGTGATGCTAGTAGAAGTGTATGGGCATGGATTCTCATTCTAAATAGGGGAGTGCCAAAAAACTGACATAAGAATCACATTCAGATTTTGTTGACTCCTTCAGAGTTCAGCTTATCATGACTAACGTTGTCTCACAAAGCTATATATATAAATATATATATATATATATCTGATTTTCTTATGGATTATGGACCAATAAAAAACTAAAACAGAGCTAAGAGCCAAAAACTATTCTACCCCAATTTGTTCGAAAGAAGGGATTTGCAAAAAAAAAAAAAAAAAAAAAAGAAGGAAAGAAAAGATAGAAGAAATCCTCACCTTCAGGGCTCCAAAAGAAAACTTTAATTTCTGCCCTTCCTTAGCCTTCCCATCTGTCTTAGTTTGGGATAAGAAAATTACGAAATAACATAACAAGTGGGCAATGCAACAAAAATAGAGAAGTTAGTATAGTATTACCTGCAATCAGGGAGGAATGTTAGTAACTGCTCTACGGGAATTGGAGATTTTATCTCTCTTAGGATATGCTTCAAGCCAAATCATATTATTGAATTGAGCTTCCACTGAGGAATGGATAGCCGCAGTACGAAACGCTTTCCCTTTATGATCGAGCTCATTTCTTGCAAGCCAAATGGTTTCCACAAGTAAAGAAGCAGAAGGTAAGAAATCTCCGTCAAAATAGCATAATAAGTTTGGATCACCAAATAAAACCGCTTCCAGGAAAGAAGCCATGGAATCACAGAGGAGGAGGGAATCTGTGCGCAGGCCCCATCGCGACACGAACCAAAGCGGTCCAACACTCTGGCAGTAAAGAAACAGATGGCTGGCACTTTCCGAAACCAAGCCACCGAGAGGGCAAGGGGTGCCTACACGCATTTTGCAATTAACGACTTCTCGTACTGGCAAACAATCCAAAACAAGCAGCAACTATAATTTCTTGTGCCTGTGCAGTATCTTGCAACTCAATATCTTCTCACAAAATCGTTGCCTGGACGGAAAGCCCTGAAAGCTTAACAAAGGGTATATCACATTCTTTAAAAATCCACTTGGTTGCAGCTCGTTGGTGACAACATTTGACTCCCCAAACACATATTGGTCACTGATGATACCAAATTCAAATGTGTCTTGGAGACATACCAAGTGGATTCCACACTATTTATTTCGCGTTTCAATGGATCTTCAAAACTGAAGTGAAAGTACATCTCTATTACGGAATCAATAAATTGAAACACATCTGTATCCAGGTACGTGGTCAATAATACATGGCTTAAGTCATAATTGCTCCCAAAACATGTGGACTTTGACAAAAATTGGAGATGCCTTTTGACATTTCTGTTTGTTTTGAGATAGATTTCCCAATTTAAATGTACGACCTTGTTGCTATCATCATTTTCAACAACAAAGCAAAAGGCAAAACCCATGAAATTTGTACACTCTGTGGGAAGCATCATATCTATTGAATCTCCAACGTTTTGATAGCAAAACCACTCTGGATGTTCATCTCCCGGATAAGAAACAATAACTTCAAGTTGAACCACTTCCCTTTCCTGTTCCATAAACACATTAGGAATATATCAAATATCAAAACTAATTCAGTCAACTTAAAAAGAGAAAGAAGCAATATGCCTTGTAATTGAAAATGGCAGTATAAAATGTCAGAGGGAATTGGAAAATATACCTCACTCAAGCTGAATAATATAAATGATTGAATTGAGCTTGGACAGAGGAATGGATATCCGCAATATGAAACGCCTTTTCTTTATGAACGAGCTCATTCCTTGCAAGCCAAATAGCATCCATAAGTACAGAAGCATAATGTAAGAATTCCCTGTCAAATTGGTGTGTGTCTGAGTTTGGATCACCAAATAACACCAAATGCAGAAAAGACGCCACGGAATCACAAAGGAGGAAATCTGTTCGGAGGCCCCACCGCGACATGAACCAAAGAGGCCGAACACTCGTACAGTACAAAAACAGATGGGTGGCACTTTCCAAAACCATGCCACAGAGCGGGCAAGTAGTGTCTGCCACATCCATTTGGCGACTAACGACTTCTCGTACTGGAAAACAATCCCAAACAAGCAGCAACCATAATTCCTTGTGCCTCTGTTGCATCTTGGAGCTCAACACCTTCTCACAAAGCTCTTGCCTGGATGGGAAAACCTGAAAGCCAAGCAAAGGGTACAACACATGCTTCCAAAATCCACTTGGTTGCAGCTTGTTGGTGACAACATTTGATTCCCCAAGTTCATATTGACCACCGATGATAGCAAATTCAATTGCGTCTTGGAGAGAAAGCATGCGGATTCCACACCTTTTTATTTCGCGTTTTAGCGGATCATCGAAACTAAAGTGAAATGACATCTCTATCACTGAATCAAAGTCAATTGCACCAATATCCAGATAGGTGGCCATGAACACCTGGTCCGAGATGTGATGGCTTTCCAACCATCGAGATGCCGTGACAAATTTGAGGTGCCTTACACGATTATAGTTGGTTTTGAGATATATTTCCCAATTTAAATTTACCAGCCCTGCAATATCTTCATCATAGGAATTGTTGACAACACAGCAAAAGGCAAAACCCATGAAGTTGTTGGGACTATACCAGAGTGGCGAAAGATTAACATTTATGGAACATCCCACGTTTTCATAACTAAACCACCCTGGAATTTCATCTCCTGTACGACAGACGGTAACTTCAAAAAAAGCCAGATCCTGTCATAAACAGATCATGATTGTTTCAAATGTGAAAAATAATTCATTCATCTTAAAAAGACGAGGCAGAGATGTACCCTTTCGGGTCTGTGTACTTCTTGTTGTAGAATTGAAGCACGTAAACGGGCAACATGAAGTTCAGTCACGATTCCCTCGTTAGCCAACTTTAACCAACCCTGAAATATCAAATGTTAAAAGATGAAAATATTATATTTTAACAAGAGGAAGAAAAGATACTTAGTTGAAAATTTCCCTAGCAAGAGATGTTCTTGTGATCTAACTTTAAAGCAACGGTGAAATATCAAATATGCAACTTAGTATATTTATTTAAAAAAAAAAAAAAGAAAGAACAGAGACGTACCTTAACCTTCAATAGAAAAATACAGATGCAACGTACAAAGCTCTAATTTGAAATTCGATTAGGATCTTCTTGTGATCCAACTTTAAGCAACCTTCAAATGAAAACCGCTCCAAAATGGAAGGAACCCCTTTAGGCCCTTGTGCGAGTAGACTCCACGAATTTGATATCGTCTCCAATGATGTGCATCCCCCTGCATCAACTTTCCTCATGGATAACGGAAGCTCCGGTAGAGATTGAAGCAACTTGCAATCTCTTACGTATAAACATCGCAACTTAGAAAGTTTGATGCCTTCAGGTATTCTACTAATTTTTGTTTTACAGAGATTTAGTGATTCTAATGCAGGTAAAGAGAAGAGCCAATCAGAAATTTCAGATACACCGGTGTATTGCATTTCTAAATCTTTAATCCTAACTAGCTTCTCAATTGACGAGGGCAACCGTGTAATCCCTGTTTCTTGGGTTTGAAGCACAATTAGACTTTCCATGGGCTCTAAGACTTCTGGCAAATACTTCAATCCTAAGCAACCCTTGATATAAAGCTCTCGGAGAGATTTTAACTTGAAGAAGTTGCTTGGAAGACTCTTAAGCCTTTTGCAGTATCCTAAATTAAATACCCGGAGATGAGAGAGGTGCTCAATTGATGGGGGCACATTTTCTATTGCTGTCTCAGCCATACCCAGATATGTTATATTCCCTGGAAGTTCTGGAAACTCATCAAAGTTTGAGCAACCAAATAAATTAAGAAACTGCAATGACTCCAACTTGCCAGTGCTGCTTGGAAGATGCTTAAGACGTGTACAGCCGCTCAGTTCTATCTCTTCTAAATTTAGGGCCCAAGAAAGGTCTGGAATTTCAGAAAGGTTCTCAGATTCTTTGAGATTTAGAAGTTTCAAGCTCTCAATATGCTGTCATAAAAAAAGGAATATAAAAAGAGAATTATATTATGCCTTATACATAAGATATCAATACCAGTGCAACTAAATTATACCTGAACGCCATCCCAGAGTTGATTGAGCTTATTGTTATTCAAGTGCAACTCAACAAGATTTTGAGGGCAAAATTTTCGAGGCAGAGTCTTTAGAGAACAATTTTCCCAATGAAGATATCTCAGCTCATCGGGAAGATATTTTAGGCCTTTTCGGAAGTGTAGTTTGCTTTCGCCACAATGATCTTGAAGCTTGAGAAGTTTTAGATTATACATAGTCTTGAAAACTTCAGATCTCAAGCATATGACATCACTAGCTTTAGACAAGTCCAAGAATATTCCATGAATTCCTGGGGTCCCCTGCAATTGAAATATAGAAAATATAAGCATGCAACGCAGAGGAAAGCAGACACAACACCAACAGTTTGGAAACTTCATCGTACGTCGCGTCGCACTTACTGCATTAGTTTTCAAGACATTACAAACATCTTCAGTGGACCTTAACCTACTGCGCTTTCCAGGCTCATCAGGAGATTGCTGTCGAACAATTTCTATACCCATATCTTGTACCAAATCATGCATTGATAGCCGGTTGGAATGGTCAGCAGTTACTAGACACTTGTCAATGAGAACTCTAATTCCCATAGCCACACCCAAGCAATAACTATCGAGTATTCTTTTCGCAGCATCCTGTTCCGTGCCAACAAAGAAGAATGCGATATCGAGAAAAATATTTTTCTCTTCATAACTTAGGCCATCATAACTTAATTTCAAGACATTCTGAACTTTGTCATAGGGAATATTTTCCAACCTTTTCAGTTCACTCTCCCATTCTTCAATGCTCTTGCAATAAAGGTGGCAACCCAAAACTTTAAGGGCTAAAGGAACACCTTTAGCATATTTGGCGACCACATTTTTTGACATTTGTACATAAACTGGTGTGGGAGAGTTTCCCTTGAATGCTGATGTATAAAATAGTTGAAGAGCATCATGAGAATTTAATTCATCAACCTCATATATTCTATCAGCTTGAATATTATTCAGCACTTGCTTATCTCTAGATGTTATGATGATTCTACTCCCACAACCATAACAACTACGATCTCTCACCAAATATTCTAGTTGTTCGAAATCGTCTACATCATCAAGAACGACAAGCACCTTCGTGCGCTGGAGCCTGTTCATTACAAATTGATTGACATTTTCTATTTTCTCCTTCAATAATTTAGAGAAAAGTTTCTTTTGTAACTTGTGAAGTTTATGTCGCTTTGTGTCCTTAATGTTTCTAAGAAAGCAACAACTTTCAAATTGAGGATCAGCAAAGCGACTGAATATGACTTCAGCGAGTGTGGTTTTTCCAATACCGCCCATGCCCCAAATGCCTACAATACGAACATCTAATAAGCTGAAATGTAGCAATCGTTCAATGTTTTGAACTTGTTTATCAATTCCAACCAGATCTTTGAAATCGGCTTTAGATGACATGTCATCCAACCTTTTCAGAATGTCTTTGACAATTTCTTCAACTACTTCAGACTCGGTATAGCTTACATAACAAAAAAAACAAAAAAAAAAACAAAAATCAGTTAATTAGTAAGAACTAATTATAAAGCATGCATATGATCAAACTATGGAAGAACATAAAATTATGAAGTTTTAGCTCTTGTGTTGTAAAGTTGGTTGGCATTTAGATTGAAGTCAAGGTGGTGATGTGGCAATACAAGAACGGTGGTGTACAGGACTTATAAAGCGCAGCAGTGTAGAACATCAAGAAGACATATTGCGGTTAGAAATTAGCCGTTAGATATTAGCCAATCAGAATAGAGTTTGTTTTAATATATTATAAGAAACCCTTAGTCCTAATTGATCTGTGTAATTGTACTGAAAGTTCTAAGAAAATCTAGAGAGAGAGAGAAAGCCATTATAAAAGGGCTTCTTGAGTGAGAAAACTTGTAAGAGAAACTGTGAGAGATTGCTAATAAAATTTCCATTCTTGAGGTTTTTCCAGATTTGATTCGTGTATTCATCTTCTTCTTCTTAGGTCAATTTCTGGTTCTGATGTTAATTGTTCTGTTTGTTAGGAATAGTGTTCTTAAAGCATGAGATTTAATAAGGATATTTATTATTTAATTAATAAAATAGTTATTCATTATTTATGTGCATGTATTATTCATTACTTAATGAATATCATTGAAAATTATGCGATTATTTATGTGACCTTAAATATTGTATATAAGTGTTATATACGAGAGAATAATATTTAAGGATAATAATCAAAAGAATATTCGTGATGAATTTAATTAAAATTACGAAATCTTTAATTAAAACATTACTAATACACGTCATTCTCATTAAGAATGAAATGGAGTTATCCACATAATTAATATAGAGACATATTGAATAAATGTATTGTACATAATAAGATTATTAAGAACTGGGATACAGACACAATTTAATTTTATGATAATTTTCATTAACTATAGAAAATCGAATTTGAGTTTACTGATGGTCATATATGAAATGATCTTAATCTCAAGTTATTAGTAGACTCCTGTTTATAGATTCGTGTTTTTTTATTTACTCAGTACGGATTTTGAGATTTTAAATCCTATTCCGTGTGTCTTATAAACATGATCAAATGAATAGTCAGGAATGCTAATATATGAGATGGAATCCATTCCTTCTTCTTTGAAGATGTAGATAAATAATTCTCTTGAAGGTTGATTTGGTACTTGAATAAGGTACGAGCTCGTATTAATGAATGCGTTTTATGAATATACTATTCATTAGAGAATCATTAGTACTCAAGGATCAAGATGTAATTAGAGAGGTTAACGGATTTTACCTACGTCTAATTATGAATTATTTATGGAGGATTGATCTATATGTAATGACTATATTGAGTGGACACTTCAAGTTCTTAGAAGTAACTTATGTTTATAATTTCGAGAGTGCAATTCTAAGTTTTTAGTGGAGTAACTTTTAGAATTAATAAAATTAATTAACTAATTAAAGAGTTTAATTAATTAATAATTTTATCAGAGATCGGAATTATAGGTCCATGAGTCCCCGTGTCATCCTTATAATATTTTCAAGACAAGATGAATTATCGGGATTTAATATCACTCGAAATAAATAATGTGATTATTTAATTAAATTCATTTGGAATACGTTGTGGTGGGACCACATGAGGTTACACGCATAGGCATAGGGAGGTGCATGGGGCGTGTGACACAGGTAGAATCCTATAGGGATTCAGTTGCTTGCTTTCCAAGATATCCGGTTTACTTGTTTGACAAGTTTTCCATCAAAAGGAAAGTGAAGCATGACTTTATTTAGATTTAAATTTGAGCTAAAATTAGAAACTAGATAAATGAGGAGTTTTATCTCTTTCTCGTGCTGCAAATTTGCTCCAACCACAGGGAGGTCTCCCTGTGGTGTGGCCGGCCATATAGTAGAGGGAAGGGAGAGAATTTTGTTTCCAAAATTAAATGGAAAACTGTATATTAATGAGATTAAAATATAGTAGTAACCGGTTTTTTTATTGCTTTGTTTTCAAGTTAAAGTAAAGGGTTCTCCTAGTATTCTTTAAATAGGAGACAATAGAAATTAGAGAAGAGTATTTTTCCTCTAAAAATTTATAGGTGGCCGAACTTTAAGAGAGAAGAAAAGTTATTCAAAATTTCAGTTTCTTCACATACATGTGTTGATAGTGAAAGAATACAAATTAGGGAGTGATCAAATCCGATTTTTTTTTATTAGAGCCCACACTCTAGGTCTTGCAGATTTTAAGGACTAGACGAGAAAGATTCAGATTTTTTGAGAAAATTTAGAGCTTGGACTGTTCGTAGTCAAAGACCTCAAGTTATCTGCCTAATCTTTCACTCTTTATAAATTAATATGATTAATTTATTATTGCATAAATTAATATGATCTATATAGTATTCAAAAGTTTTATGAAAATTTTTGTTATTCACGATCCACACCATCACGCTTCTGCACACGAAAATGTTTCAAAAACCAACATTATTGATCTTGAAGAGGAAAATTTCCAACATCTTGTATTAAGCAAAGGCTAACAACTAAGGATTAAATAAACCATTTTGCACATGTGGGCTCTTTAACAGGAAAATGGGGGAAGTTTTGTAGAACCATTGCTCTGTTTGGTTTGTAGGTTGGAATTTATGCTATTAAAACTTTTTTGTTTAAGCTTAAAACTCTGAAATTTTTATTGTAGTAGAAAAGTTCAAATTTACCATATTGAAGGACGGCCGGAAAAATACCAAAATTGTGGCAGTACAAATTTTTTGTTCCAAACGCATGTAGGTAAGTGCCTCAAATTGATTTTTAGAAAAGTTACTATTTTGTGTTTTTTTTGTGTAAGTTATTGTTTTATGTTTTTGGGCAGGGGTTACTTTTGACTCATTAGGAGTCTATAAATAAGTGCTTTGTGTAATGCTTTATGCGTGCTCAGAGAAAAGTTCTGAGAAAGAGTGCCTACTTTTGAGAGAGAGAAAAAATTGAGCAGAGGGATAGGCAAAGGGTGTAAAGAGTTTTGGGTAGAGAGATAAAGAGATAAAGTTTATTGAGTATGTAATTCTGAAACTATTAGTGAATTTTTTTCCTCTTCCGTAGACGTATGAATTTTTTTCGAACCACTTATAAATCCTTTTATTCTCTATATTTTTTTGTTATTTTGTTTCAGTTTATTTTTCTGCTGCGTGGGTGTAGGGGTGTGTTTTTCATAACAATAGGTAACTTAGCTGTGGTGAAGATTAAAAAAAAAGTCAAGATGATGTTCGGGATAAAGTTTCAGCAGATTAAGTGTTTTGATGGGAAAAGTAATTTTAGCATCTGACAGAGTACAATGAAGGATGTGTCCGATTCAGTAGGGATTACTGAAAGCGCTACAAGGAAAGAAGCCTGAAAAGATGAAAGATGAAGATTGTGAAGAAGTGGAAGCGAGAGTGGTAGCAGTACTATTCGTTTAAGTTTGGCTCTTGAATTGAAATATAGTGTTATGAATAAAACATCTCCTTCTCAATTATGAAAAAATTTTTAAAAAAGTTTATATGTCAAAATCCCCAACAAACAGGCTATATTTGAAAAAGCAATTGTATGAGTTGAAGATGGATGAGGAAACTGATGTTAGGGATCATATAAATAATTTTAATAAGTGCATAACTAAATTATTAATTTTAGAGGTTAAAATTGATGAGGAAGATAAAGCAGTAATTTTGTTGGCCTCTCTAACCAAATCATAAGAGACTTTAGTGACTACACTTTTAGTTGAAAAAATGACGTTGACTATGGATGAGGTGTCGACTACTCTATTAGAAACTTTAAATATTAAAAAACTAGTGTGACGCCTCATACTAAACAAGTTTTAGTGGCACAGTCAAATTTAAATAGGTGTAAGAGCAAGTCACGAGGGAGATATTATGATGAGAAAGATGATCGTTCCCAATCTCATCTAAGGAAAGATATTGAGTGCTACTATTGTCATAAGAAGGGGCTTGATGGAGTACCTTGAAGAAAAGAGAAAGCAAGAAACCCTAGAGAATTCAAATTCTGCAAATGTTGTTGGCGACAAGTTTGACAGTAAAGATGATGTTTATTCTATTATTACTGCTGAAAATATTTCTTACTCTTAGATTTTAGATTCTGGATGTCCGTTTCATATGTGCCCACATAAAAAGTGGTTTGATTCCTATAAGCTTTGTGATGTTGGTACTTTGTTGATGGCTAATGATTCTAGTGCTAAAACTGTTGGAATAAGTAGTGTGAAGGTGAAGATTTTTGATGGAGTTGTGAGGAAATTGTCAAATGTTGGACATGTTCCCCAACTAAGGAGAAGTTTGATTTCTTTGGAAGCTTTAGGCTCTTTGAGTTGTGAGCACTATGCGAAGGGTGATTTTATGCAAGTCAAGAGAGGTAATTGGGTGAAAAAGTGAAAACTTGTATAAGTTGAAGGTGGAGCCAAGCCACGAAGAGTCTTCTTCTGTTATGAAAAAAGTTGCAGGAATAAAAGAGTGCAACAAGATGTTGATGACAATTGATGACAATTGAAGACAATAAAGGCAAGATGGTGAAGACTTATGGTAGTGAAGATGCTTTGAAGAAGAAGAGGACAATTTCTCGTATCAAGTTTGATGAGAGTTTAAACTTGATACATGTTTATTCTTATTGATATATATTTGCATTATTGTCCCCCATCCATAAAGGGTGCGATAACGGGTGTCGAGATTGGATACCAAAATGTGTGAGTTGAGAGAATTTGAGTTAAGATGGAGATTGTTAAGTAAATGCCTCAAATTGAATTTTAGGAAAGTTATTATTTTGTGGTTTTTTGTATAAGTTACTATTTTCTCTTTTTAGGCAAGGGTTATTTTATGGCTCATTAGGAGTCTATAAATAAGTGTTTTGTGTAAGGCTTATGTGTGTTCAGAGAAAAGTGCAGAGAAAGAGTGCCTACTTTTGAGAGAGAGAGAAAAGTGAGGAGAGAGATAAACAAAGGGTATAAAGGGTTTTGGGTAGAGAGAGAAAGATATAAAGTTTGTTGAATGTGCATTTCTGAAACTGTTAGTAAATTTTTCTTCCTTTTCTGTAGATGTAGGAAATTTTTTCGAACCACATATAAATTTTTGTTTTTTCTATTTTTCTATTATTTTGTTTCAGTTTATTTTTCTGCATGTATTTTTCCTAACATGTTTAAATGGTGAATTTGATTCAAATTGGACTACATGGGCCGAACGGACAAACCAAACATGGTATATTTCACAAGAATTTGTTTTATATGGTACCAAAAGGCTTCATGTTTCCAACAAGCCGGTGTCAAAATATTGCATTTTAAATGGAACTGACCGAGCCTTAAGGTGGCAAATTCAAAAGAACAAAAACGACAGGGCAAGTGTAACAACATAATGGATAATATAAAACAATCAATTCACCTAATGTTTTTCTCCAACAGACGGAAAAAAAAAATCACGAATTACAGAATCAAGCAAACAAAAAGCTTCAAGCTAGTGGCTGTTCTTTCTTGCATGGCTCTGTGATGTGTGACAAAAAATGAAGAGAATTTTATTATTATTATTATTATAATTATTATTATTTTTACTGAGAAGTAAAACTACTAGAGATTAGAGAGAACAAAGGAGTGAAATGAGAGACTTGCAGAGGGTTCTAGAACTCTAGAGCAGGAATTCTGAAATCTCAATACTTTTCCATAAATCGAATTATGGAATTGAGTTGCAAAGTATCCAAGAGATAGTAAGGAATAGCTACTAACTTAAGAACCTGTTCAAGAAAAGTAAAGACAAGTATTAGGGATGATAATACAACATTTGATTGTAGTATTCAATCTTCATTTATAATATGCAAACATGTCTTAAACTAATAAAACTAACCTTAATATCCCAAAATAACATAAATCCGTCAGTAGACCAAAACTAAGACATTAAAGATAAGTTGTATCTGAAACTCCATCTGTTTGAATTGGTAAATCAATGCAGAGGAGGGTAAAAAAGAGAGTAAAATACCTAGTGACAGATATATTCCAGCCACACATATTGCCTGCTTCTTTTAAAGCATTTCTCCATTGTTGCACCTTTTCATCCTTGAAGCGTTTTTCATGTTTAGCAAATGCAACCGCATAGCTGTTTTGCTGTTGGTGTATATCTGCTTGATCTACATGGTAAAAAATTGGAACAACGAGCTGCTTCTTTACCTCTTTGCATCGGACGATATGAGCGAGTTCCGTTAAGCACCACGAGGAAGAAGCATAATTCTCCGAGAAAATGACTACAGAAATCTTTGACTCCTCTATTGCTCTCAAAAGTGCTGATGAAATTTCCTCTCCTTTCTCTAGCCGATCATCATCTATGTAGGTTTTGACTTTTTTCCGGCACAAAGCAGCATAAAAATGGCTAGTGAAGTTCTTGCGAGTATCCTCCCCTCTGAAACTTATGAAAACATCATATATTTTTTTCATTGGAGAGGTAGAAGGACAAGAAGGGGAAGCCATAACTAACGCAAACGAGGACTTTTGAAGACTAACACTACAATAAATAGGAGATTAGACGACGCCTATTTAATGTTTTATAGGAAGCAGCCGTCTAATGAACTAAAAAAATGCGGTATGAAGACGAAAAATCTGTACGCGTACATTAGACAACGTTTTTTAAAAAATCGTCGTCTAATGTCAAAAATTCTTTTAAAAAAAGGCGCACTTTTTTCTACTCATTTTTTTCAGAAAATTTTTAATGGTTTGATATCTCATCTATAACTTCGAGCATTCTCTTACATACTCTAACTTTGTTATCTCATATCTCTCCAAAGCTCTCTCTCTTCCTCACAACCTAACTCTCTCTCTAACTCTCCTCTAAAGACTTCAATTTTTTTATCTCATCTCTTCTACACCGCACTCCCATAACTAACGTACTTCTCACACCCAACTTGGCCGCCGCTGCCTCCGAGAGCCTCACAATTATGCTCATACGCCGCCGGCCGTTGTGACCTCGCCTCCATATCCACCACTGCACCATGACCATCGAAATAGGTATTTTTGTTGTTAGATTTCGTAGAGACTTTTGGTTTTAAAATATTTGTGTTTCATATATATTAATTATGTATGAGAAGGTGAATTTGAATTTTTTCATGTGTGTTGTTCAATGACTTATGATAACATTCGAAGAAATAATTTTTTTTTTAGCAAAGCATTAGTTTTCGGCAAAAATATATATTTTTTAATTTTTTAATACTTTTAACGACAGTTTTTTTGAAAACCATCGTTAAACGTTACACATTAGACATTAGTGTTTCAAAAATACCGTCGTTTAATGTGCATTTTTAAACTCTTGTGGTGTCTCACGCGCGTATTAGATGACGGTTAAAAACCATCATCATATATCTTTGACATTTAATGACCCTGGATATAACAACGGTTTTTAAACCGTAATTGTATCTTTTGACGACGGTTAGAAACCTTTGTCTTATCTCCTATTTGTTCATAGTACAAGCTCTCTGCAAACAGAAGATTGTACGTCTATAGTACTTTTTAACAATAGACTGACTAAAATTTCATTTATTTCAAGGACTCCAGTATGTTTATTTACAATAGAAAACGTAGTCTCTTCAAAGAAAGGTAGAGAGCGACATGTTAATTAAGTTACTACTAGTTTAGTTAGGCCATGCTGAAGATCACATTGCTAGAAATTGTGTAAGGAAGTTTCTTTAATTTGCGCAACATTCGAGATGAAACATGCATGAATAAAGACTCAAAAGACTCATAAGAGGACAATAAGTTAATATGCCAAAAAAAAAAAAAAAAAAAAGAACTTGCTTCCACCTAATCAAACGCACTCGTAACTTTTACGTTGAATTAAAGAAACTGACAAAGCTAGGAGAAGCTATACTACATGACAAAGCTAGGAGAAAGGTGGAAGAGGAAAGATCCAAAAAAAAAAAGTAAGAAAATGGACAGAAGCAAAGAGGGAGATTGGTAGAATCCAGAGAGTGGAAAAAAGAGACCAGTTGTCTTAATAAATACACACCAAATTGATAAGATTCACTTTCACACCATTAAGTTACCAATTAACATTTCATAATTGTTTGACCATTTGCTTTTTATATGGGATAGGTTGCGTGTAGAAAAGGGTATCTAGGGATAGATTTTCATTTTTCAATGGCAATGGATTACTACGAAATAATATTTTAAATAGAGCACTTCATCACCTGTATATTTTACTTCCTCTCAACAAATGTTCACTTTGACAACCACATTTTATAACAGTGGACACCACTCTTATTTTATAGTCACATATCTCGAATGGAGTTTTACATCTTACACACGTTCTACTACCTACTAGAATTACACAAATTATTATTACTGTATTAGGCCGTGCCTTTTCCAACAATATGTGTACTTTCGAAAGGCATCTGTGCAAAAAAGATGAATCAGTCTAAAGAATAGCAGAATGAACTTAGGGTGCGTTTAGTTGCAGTGGATAAATTATAATAGTAATGAGAATGATAATGATAATTGTAATGAAATAAAAAATAAAATTAATTCATCTGTTTGGTTATAATTTTAGAAATACTATGGAATGGAACATGAATATTTAATATTGACAAAATTACCATTATATTATATATAACATTAATATTTTATATATCAATATAATTAATATAATATAATATAATGTATTATTATATAATACATT